AACTGTGTCCATAGTACGCAGCAGACCCATTTATTTGTTTGAAACAGGAGCTAAAATTTGTCAAATGGAGATAGGCAATTAGAAGTGACAAAAGAATTAGATAGATTACACGATCAATACGTACTGGTTCCTGCCGACAAAGCAGGTGACAACACTGTCTTCGTTTGTAAGGCTCATTATATAAATTGCATTTTATAGAAGAACTTGGATTCAATTCTACAAGTGGTAATCCCACTTATACACATAGTTCCCTTTCTAAAGAAGAAATTCTTCAAAACCATATGTCAGTTTTGAATACCTTTAATATTCCACAGCGCCAAAATGAATTTGAACTACCTTATATATATTGGATTCCGAAACTTCATAAGAATCCCTACTTTGATATATTGCAGGTTTATTAAATGTTCAACTAAGCCTCTTTCGTACTCCTCACTAAGATATTGACAGTAGTGAAGGAAAAACTTCAAGAGTACTGTGCATTTACATATTCAAGAAGTGGTGTGAATCAGATGTGGATACTAAAAAATTCTAAAGAACTTTTGGACAATTTGAAATCACAGGATTTTACAAAAACCAACAGCTTAAAAACTTACGACTTTTCAACTTTATACACAAAAATTCCCCACGACAAATTAAAATCCAGGCTTTTTGATATCATTGACAACTGCTTTTTCAATAAAAATGGAACTCGTAAATTTACTTACCTCATCATTGGTCATTTGCAAAATCATTTTGTTAAAACAGATTCTGATTGCACACATAAGTACTCTGAAGTTGACATTAAGAAGATGCTTGAGTTTCTGATTGACAATATCTATGTGATTTTTGGAGATCAGGTATTCCAATAATCTATTGGAATTCCCATGGGTACAAATTGCGCTCCGTTATTAGCAGACTTATTTTTATATTCATATGAAGCAGAATTCATGCAAAATCTTATGCGTGAAAAGAAGAAAACGCTTGCTGTGGCCTTGAACTCGACATTTAGATATATCGACGACGTATTGTCAATTAATAATGGTAATTTCCATTCCACCGTCGATACGATATATCCTGGTGAGCTTCAGATAAAAGATACCATAGAGTTCGACACTTCTGTTTCATACTTGGATATTTTACTTGAAAAAGACACAAATGGTAATCTAACAACCAAGCTACATGTATATGATAAACGTGATGACTTTAACTTTTCTATCGTCAACTTCCCTTACTTATGCAGCAATATACCTTCATCACCTGCATACGGAATATATATATCTCATATTTTATACGCAAGAGCATGCTCTACGTATGAAGATCTAAAACGAGGTAAATTATTGACAAAGAAGTTGATGAAACAAGAATATCAGCAGTCTCGTTTAAAGTCATCATTTCGTAAGTTCTATGGTCAATACAATGACCTTGTCAGCAAATACAATTTATCATTGAGTCAAATGAATGCTGACGTACATTTTCATACTAATTGATAGGCCATTATTTACACACTGAATAGACAACAGATTTTTTCTGTTATTTCCCGATCATGGCAAGGAGCACAAGGCGGGTGTGACATCGGCAGGTCACTCCTCCATGGCATGATCCCTCCTCTGATGTTTTGGAGGTATATGTTTCCAATGCCCCTATTTTGTATTGTTTAATGGACTTTGAGATTGAATACTGTTCGTTATCTTCATATCCTTATGATATAGATTTTTTTACGAATGCACCAAATATTTAACATAAATTATCAGTGGCGGATTTCTTTCCTAATGTTAAAGGGTGGGGGTTAGAAGGTAATTGTGGCTTTACTGAAGCCCCCAGGGGAAAAAGAAAAGGTTTTTTGGAGGTCCGGGGACAAGCTTCGGAAATATTGTGTTTTTTTTTTTTCAAATAAAAGATATTTCTTCTTCATTTTGGTATAATTGACATACAAGTTTTAAATAAATTTCAAACGGGGGGGGGGGGGGGGGGGGGGGGACGCAACCCGGTGCGCCGGCCGTGTACATTTATGAATCTGATTATGAACTGGTGTATTTTGGTGTAATTGTAAAGTCACATCACCTTATTAAGACAGTTAATAAGATCAAGCATCTGCTAGATCAAATAGTTATCAATAAAAATGATAAAGTCAAAGATTAATGAGAATCACAACTCATTATTTTTCATAAATAACTGGATCGACTAAAATATACACCGGTATACAATTAAATCTGTAAACAGGGCATAAAAGATAAAACACAGAACTTCGGAAATTCCAGAGATTGGATCAGGAACCTAGAAGTAGTTATCATCCCGTCATACCCGCTGTCAACCACAAATTTCTACCTGGACATTTTTGTCTATTGTAATAATCTTGCCAGGTTTTAAAAGAAATGACATACTGTTGGTAATCATTAACAAGATTCCATGCAAATATCCTCACTCCGTAAGCTGACTTTTCCAAAACTTCTACAAGTATATCTTTATTAAGTACTTGGCGTTGCCAACGTATTTCAAGTGCTAAATACCACAAAGTGAAAATATCTAAGCTTTAATGACATTAAACTTTTTCATAACTGAAACGTTGAAGTTTATTTGTAGATCTAAGAAGATAACGCTTTTAATGTGACTTTCCAGTTCTTAGGCACGTTTACTATATATATGTACATGTAGTACATTTATATTATTGCACTGAAAGAAAAACCTAGTGAATTTAAAAGTGTGCCTCGTAAAGCGTTGGTCGTGATTAGTAAACTTTCATTTTACTGGTATAAGATGTGAGTTGTGGAGCGGGGGTTTTATAGATACTTTAGATACCTAGTGAAAACTTATATCAATTCTAACTTTACTAATCTTTTAGTAAATAATATCGTAAAACTACTTTTAAGGTAGTGAAACAGTAAATTTACTACTTTTCTTCGTGACTTTAACTAGTTATTTTTTTACAGTGTGTGTTGTTAAATTTCTGTCTTAAAAAAAACTTTAGTTAGTGTTAATTGTAAAATTCAACTCTGCCCTTCAGTACTTCTATTCCTCTGTTGTTGTTTGTTTTTGGTTCTTTTTAATGTACATTGCTGCATGATAAATTGTGCAATAAAAATAACAAAAGTAATGACAATAAAGGAAAATACACCTCATCGCGTCACAGATTGCTTTGGCAGTGATATGCCTCCAAGGCCTTGAGAAGGATATAACATAACAGGATCCAAGCTGCACATTTTCCACAAACTGTTTTTGATCATTATGAAGGTAAGTTGTTTTTAATTCTCAAACTCTGAAAAGTTAACTACATTATTTCAATTATTAGTGCTTGAACAAAGGAGTGTGAAATTAAATGTAAAGGTAATGACAAAGAAAAGCTATCGGTCGAAATAAAAAAGAAATCCCAAGCTACAAACGATAAAAAAAACCCTGCAAAGAGGGCATAAAACACAGAGCCCTGGAAAATCCATAAGATCAGGTGCCTAGGAGGAGCAATCATCCTTTGGATGTCGACCGGTCAAACCCGCTGTAACCCCCCGGTAGACAAAATATTTCGAAGTGAAGTTTTAGAATAAAGACAACGTCCTAACAATGGGTATGAAACAGTCAAAATACGACCCTATGAAAGGTATATAATATCTGTTTTATTTTTCAGACACAGTCTCTACTCCCCCTGTGTTTGATGGCTTTATTGATAAGTTGCGAGACCGCTGGAGTTGTCAAATGTCGAGCCAGGTGTGGAGATAGTTTTGGAGATTGTTGTAAAAATGAATGTGGTGGAACTGTCGAACAAGTAAACTTCGTGGCTTTACATTGCGGTCAACCCAACCCCAATAATACGTCAAACCGCTGCGGGAAAAATTGTCAGGAAAAATTCACCAAATGTGTCAAAGGATGTGGAGACATTATTTTATAAATAAATGAATAAATAATTATCTAAGGCAATTTTCTTTTAAATTTTGAATTTTTTCTATAAACGAGAAAATAAGTTTGTGGTACTGTAAAATTTTGGACATCTTCAACTTTCAATCTCGGACCTTTTCGAGCTTACCGGAAAGGCCCGAAAAAAAACGTGATTGCTTTGATTTTGCATTGTAGATGAATTATTTATTAAATGGAAAGAGTAAATTGCACGTTTTACCCCCCCCCCCCCTCCAAAAAAAAAATGACTGTGCTTTTAGCATATTTTCTTGTTCTTAAGATTAGTAGCATTAAACCCCTCCCCAATATCGATTCTTTCCATCAGTGTTGATAAATGCATCCTGAAATTAAAAATAAGCCCTCTTTGCCAGTGCTTAAACAGGAATTCTCAAAATAAAGTTGAAAGATTTTTCTAATGCAAAGTTGCCCTATATAAACTAATAAGAACGTGTAGGTTATTTCCTTTACCTAGGACAACAGCCCGTGGGCTGGAAGACAAATGTAACGCTGTGTCATGACAGAGAAATTCAAAATCAGCATTAGATAAATTGGCTTTTTAAGGTTAACAGCCATTTTACTCAAGTTAAGAGAATGATGAACTCCAGGCATCGTAGAATCTGAACTGTAACTCCTATTCATGTGGGCATTCTCACTATTGCATGGAGAGGATGGATTTGGGGGAAAACAAAGGGTTCGCCCAATAAGATAGGTCATAGGTATACACTGTGATGGGGGTTATCAACATTGTTATAAGCATTTCTCAGAACTCCCAAACTTTCACATCTTGTGATTGGCCATCAACAAAATTACATCGTGAAAAATCTCTCCAATTCCTCATTGACAACATTTTCATGTAGTCTTAGGAGACCTAAGTCTTCCAACAAACTCGGAATCCCCATGGGCACTAATTGTGTTCCTTTAAATGTTAACCTTCACTTTACACCCTTTTACATGAAATAGAATGTTCTCAGAATTTTTCACATGGTAAGAATACAACACTTGCTGTGGCCTTCAACTCGACATTAAGATATATTAACAATATTTTATCAATTTGCAGTATCAGATTACAGTACTAAGATGAGAAGAACCAAGCAGCACAAATAACATAGCTTTGTAAATAAAATTGAAGAAAAAATCAAAGTGTCAATAAATAATTTATTTCTATCACAAAAAAATCCACAACATTTAGTTTCTCTTCCACTGGACGGAATACAGGATGAGATTTCTACATATCACAGTATGGTGTCAGTCACATGACAAAGTGAGTCATCAGTCACATGACAGGAAGTGATTCATCAGTCTGTGTCAATAGATCTGGGTCACTTTGATGCTATACACGTAGAGATGCTCTTGCTTTATCTAGAATTTCTTTCCTAATTTTGGGGTAATTTGGATGATTACCTAAAACCTGAAGAAGAAATAATTTTTTGTTAACGTTTATCATCTGTTAAATATTGTGTTTTTGTAGATTTATTTCAAAAAGAAAAATCATTCCTTTGTGTACTTACATGATGACAAATATCAATTGCATCTACAAATCTCTTTGCCTTCAGGTAATTGAATGCCAACTTAAAACCTGAAATGAAGGAAAATCAATACAGTGTACATGTATGAATCTGAGATGAAATGACAGCATTTGTTTGCACATATTTATATAATTAAAAAAAGACAACTCTACTACAAAGCATAATATATAGAAAGCACATGATAATAAATTTAACTGTACTTTCATAAAGCTGATCCTAAGTTACCTATAACGGGGTTGTTTTTATTTCCGTATTTCCAGGCCATTTCATAACTGGAGGCAGCATCCTTGTAAGACTGTTCTTTCTCAAAAATATACCCCAAATATTCATGTGCCTTGCAACAGGACTGGGTAAAAAAAAATATATACATGTACAATGAACAGTGACATCTATGCTTGTTTTTGTAAAAATTGCACAGATTTTACGTAAAAAAAAATATATATAAGCTAAACCAACCCTATTGTGTTGAAGGCATCTTTTCAGTAGTTCTGTGGCCATATCATATTTCCCAGTCTACAAGAAAAGACATACATGTCTTTATATCCTGCAATATCCCAACATTTACAAGACTTTATACACTGGGTTTATCATGATTAGTAATCAGTAATGTATGCTAGTTCAAAAAGCTAGTGAAAGCTTAGTTTCAACAGGTAAACATCCATATTTTATTTACAAACAGTTGTCTTAAAAATATTTCTGAAAGTTTGAAACTACCAGATACTTTCATTTTTACCTGTATATAGATGTCTGCCAATAACAGCCAACCCTTTTCTAGATCTTCTGCATCCTATAAAAATAAATTTCAGAACTTATTCTTTTGAAATATTATCAATTAGGCGAAACAACCAAAGTTCCTTTTTGAACACTAGTATCTGACAACAAAAAACTTATTCTTTTGAAATATTACCAAAATGCTTCAGCACCATGAAACAACAATGATGCTATAATACAACAAGTTCCTTTTTGAACTGTTTGCACTGAAAACTACAAATACAGCCATTATTTGCTCTGTATCTGACAACAAAGTATCTCATTTTGGCCCTTTTGTGAAATTTCAGAACTCTGTAATAAAATAATTTGTTACTATACACGTTATATCTCAATTTGAACTTTTCTTTCAGGGACCTGCATGGTCCAGTAAAAATTTTCGCAAAAAGGAGGTACGACAACAGATATAAAAGAAACAATCCTCTTTAACTGGTTCCTGGCTCTGGGTGTCTGCTTCAGCACCATGTATGCTGCTGCTATTCCATACAAAGCACCTACATGTTCTCGCTGAGTCAAAGAAAAAATACATTTATAAGAGCGAAGATGCTATAATACAACGTGTTTACTATTGACCCTTGTATTTTTGTCCGCGAGGTCACGAAGTAGGTAAAACCTTTTTTTGATTTTTAAAGACCACTGTTTGCTAAGATGTGATCTGATAAAGATAATGATGAATTGAAAACTACAAATACAGCCATTATTTGCTCTGTATTTTAGCTATTTTCTAATAAAATCTAAAATTCTAACTTTAACGACAAATCCTAGGCCTAACTATTTAAACTTTCACTGTGTTCTAATCATTTTAAAAGCAAGACATTAATGCCCAAAATGATTATACCTTATTTCTTGATTTTTAAGTATATAAAAATATGTTAATCGTGTAGCCACCATGCCATGATAATCTTGTATATGTATGAACGTGTGCGCGCATGCAAAACGTTGAATGACATTTATGATTGAAATTATAACTTTTTTCTTAAATGAAATCCTTCGATACTAAGCAAATGAAATATCCATGATGTATGCTTATTCAGTTATTTACCAGTTATTTACCAAATGTGTACATATATAATACTAATTATTCTTCTAAACATTAAAACTTAAAGTATTCTACACAAGTATCATGCTAACTCTAATCTACAAATAAAAGAAGTGTTATGGAGTTTCCAGAACATAAATGTTTCTAAATTTTGTCAAAAGTACTACATATGTATATGTATATGTAGAAATTGAACAACATTAACAATCAATCTAATACAACTCCCATTACACTAAATGTCTGCTTTAATACAACAGTCTTATCATCAAATGAAATATCAGTGGAATATAATGGAGTATTCTTGATGCAGCAAAGAGATTAAAGCTGTCTTCCTATAAAACATATTTCCTGTTAATTGCAAAATTTCAAATACATTTGGAAAAATAAAAAAAATGAACAAAAAACATTTTCTTTCATTGTGTACCCAGTATATAGAACTGATTTCCCCAACTTTTTATGATCAGACATGTACTTTGCAGTGTTTGAGTGGTCAAATTATAAAAATGTCACCATAAAATACATATGTATTGTGAAATTCAACTTAAAAATAAAAACTTGATGAGTACTAATAGAACGTTGACAGTGCAAACTATGAACCAAGAGGTGGTGCTGATAAATCTGCTCTAAAAATAAAGGAGGTAACTAACAAAAACATCCCCCGACACCGAGAAATCAATTTGTTTATCCCTGTTACCATGGAAACACCTACCGCTGAACCAGTAGTGGGATTTTCCGAGTCAGGCTAAGTAAAACAACAGCTCATCATGACAAGTTTCTTATAAATAACATCTATTAAGCAAAAAGTCTTGTATTCATGTGGACTTCAAAGTGGATTTTTTTTTGCAACAATATTAAAGAAAGGACCAAAAAGTTTTCATAAATTTTAAGATACATGATAAGGACTGGATTAAATGTCTACCTCCTTATATAAATGAAATATAGTTAATTTAAGAAGACGCCACAAAAAGTCTATCTTCACTTAATATTCTCAAAGAAAGACAGTGTGTTACAGGAGTTATTTTCCACTTTGCTTTACTTGAATTTTAATACATCAAGAAAACAACCCTTTGTCATTTTCAGTTAAGCACACATGGGCAGATTACTAGTATATACTCGAGAAGAAACTTCTGTTCATATGTTGTACAGATTTCGCCTGCTATACTGACCTCATTAGCACTGATTTCCATTAAGTTATTCAGGGCTTTCTCCACATTCTGTTTCTGTTTTGAGGCAATCAGAGCCATATTCTCCAACATTTTGGGTCTCAGGTCCCCAGGCTTAGCCTTCACTTCCTGCAACCATACAAAGATCATTTAACTTTGAAATCAATTTTCCTAACTGGAAGATGAATCCACTAAGCATTCACACACTCTCTTTAATATGTCTTTCATTTATCACATGAATTAAATGTTCGGAATACTTTTAAACTATTAATCTGACAATTTAAATGAATTACCTTGAGTAATTTTTCAGCGGTTCTAACAGCTACCTGTTCACTCTCCATCTTGTCTCTGTCCACAGCTCTGAGAAAAATAATTGTATTATTTGATAGATATTGTTCCACTTTTAAATAATGTAGGTACTTTAGCAGTTAAAGCAAAGAACAGTTTAGCTTTCATATGATGTGAGCAATGGAACTATCAAGATATATAAAAAATTCCCAGCTTTCAAAATACAGTTTTAGGTCAGTTTATGGTAACAAATACATTCCTATACTGTATATTCCTCATTATACACAAGAACTGAATTTTGCCAATAGACTGCAAAAAATTGTCATAAATGTCAGAATATGAAAGAGCGAATGGACTGTTGGTGTTAATGAGGACAAACATGTATTTTAATTTACTTGTATTTCAGCAGTATAAAATTAAAATAAAATACATACATTACTCAATAATAAATTCCTCACATATAAATGTATTTTAGAAATCAACACTATATTTCAGTGATTATTTACCCCGTTCCTTCGTCTTCAAACACCTCTCCACCCAGTGTATCATTGTCAGGGTTCAGACAGATCTCAATCATGTTGTAGATAGACAGATTTCCCCATTCATTGTCTTTACGGGCTTTGTTAAAAGACTTCAGGGCCGCAGTAGGGTTACCAGTGTACCTGGAAACATAAGATAAAATGACTTTGACACATCAAAGTTGAAATTCAAAACCAGCTTACTGGGAAATCAATATGTTGCTCATTTTTTAAATTATACATAATTTATTTTCTTACTGCTTACAAGACATGCCTGTAAACAAATCAAAGATATCTAAAAATGTATTTACCTGTACTGTACTTGTACTTATTTTGTTATTTGTTTTTTTGTTGTTGTACCTGTATCTTAAGGCATGTGTTATTTAATCAATAAACATATTAACACATACAGATATAAACACAGACAGACCTACTCATGATCTACATTAGCTTAAATAGTACACATGTACCCACAAATGTTTTAAATTTACAACTTTCCTACTCCCTCACCATTCATGAAGTCCTTTACAGTAGTTATATCCCGCCTCTAAGGAGGCCCGCCCTGTGGCGTTTTCTGCAGCTTCCAGGAATTTTGGGACTTCCTCCAATTTTCCAGATCTCCTCATTAAGTCTACTAACCCTGCCAAGGCCTCGTAGTTATCTGTCAATAAACACAATATATATCAGTCACAGAGGAAGAGAGAGGCATTCTGAAATCCTATATTTATGCCAATGAGGCTGAACATTTGTTAAATACAATACCTGGTTTAACTGTTAACAGTTGTTGGAAATGGTGAACAGCTGAGTCATATTCATTCTTTCTGAACATAAGATCAGCCAACATCTATCAGAAAAGAAGAAATATTTGTACATTTTGGGGGGCTAGATGCTCTACTTCTTTATCCCCATAAGTTCTGGTACCCTATACTCACAATTGTTGCAGCATCATTTTCTTTCTCATTTTTCAGGAGAGTCATTAGCTGATGTTGGCATGAATCTAAATCTTCTGTCATTAAATACAACCCAGCCAAATCCAACATCACCTATTAAATGGATATAAAAAATATATCATTAAAATTTAATGACAAGCAATGAAAATATTTCCACCTGCTATAAGCTATAATGGATTCAAAAGATACTGAGAATCAGATATCAGCCATAATGTCTTGCCCACTATTTTAAGACTTTCATTTCTTGATCGATGAATTTACATGTATCCTTGGTACATTACCTTGCTATCATTCTCGTTATAAACTAAAGCTTCTTTGTAGAACTTGATGGCCTTCTCGTAATCTCTCTGTCCCCTCACTTGTTCGGCCATTGTCACACAAATACTACAAAAGAATCATATAAACACTAAGAAATTATTTTCTTATGCACAGACCTAATACATGTATTGGCAAGACAAATGTATCCTCACAGTTGTAATTCTATTGATAGAAAAAGTAAATATAATTCAGTCTCCGGGACCATAAAACTTAGACAAGATCACTTTTGATCTCAGTCTCACTTTGTTATTATCAATTCCTTTTGTAAAAGTGAGACTGACATCAAAAGTGAGCTCAACAACGTTTTATGGCCCCGGGGCCTGGTGTTTGGTGAGTACATACTCTGAAGCCAGCTGTTTCTGCTGACCAATGGCATCTGGCTGTTCTATCTGAACTCTCTTCAGAACCCTGCACAAGGCAAGAAACAAGTTTTTCAAACATCAGCCCATAAAAAGACTTTTACTGATAATTTTATGTGTAAGCTAATGAAAAGACAATACTTACAAAATCCAAATCACAATACATGTGCAATGTACAACCAATCAAATGACATCATTTTTTCACTAGACAGTTTTTCAATTAAACCATGAAAAGATATCTCGGTACATATCATAGCCCTGACATTTGGATGATTTGGATGACATACCTGGCCTGCATGTCCCTGGCCTTGGTGAGAGCTGTCATGGCATCCTCCAGTCTGTCCACCTTCTGGTAAACTTTGGCCAGTAGAACCATCAGTCGGGTGTGCTCCATCATCGTGTCCAGGTCTGAAGCTGTTAGATCACAATCAAAATTTACATTACATCTTATACTTAAATTAGAATTTCTACATCTCTTTTTTTATTCTTCTTGGGTCAAGTTTATGAACATGAATCAAAGTGGAGGAGGTGAAGAATCTTCAAAGTCTTTCACTTTAGTTTACAAATTAAACATGAACCAACTATACGATTCTAGGTATTCTCTTGAAAATTATGGCAAAACTGTGATAAATTCTACTATCCTCATTTACAATATTCTTTCTTGATCAACAGTTCAATTCACGATTCTAAAAATAAGGCAAAATCAAACAGTTTTCAACAAAAACAAGAACACAACTATTTTCTTCAAATCATTTAAGAATCACCTAGTACAAATAAATGTAGCATAAACAAGAAACTAAATCAACATCAGGTGTTCATGCATGCAGAATCCAAACTTCTGTAACAGATAACTCCTGAATGCCTTACACATCTCTGACAGATATTTCACTCTGGACATTTCCTCTCTATTTCTGTTAATTTTCTTTCTCTCTCCAACACATGTTTCAACTTCCTCACCATCTGCATACTTTTCTTTTTCAATGTCCCCAAGAATAGCATTAATTTTCACCTCCATGTCATCAGCTGGGGTGACTTTACTTTTACCTCTCTCAAGAGGTTTATCCTTAACATCTTTTTAATGATGATACCAATGTTACCATGATTTTTCACGCAAGTATTTCACCAAATGAACTTACAAGCAGTTACACGCAATATAATTAAAATTAGATGTTAGATCCGCTCGCATACTTGCTACACTAACATCTAACAATATCCCATAAAGGGTCATGTCAGAGGTCAAATTCTATCAACCAATCAAATTGTCTCCTGGAAAATCATCATATATTTATTGAAGCAAATAAGTCTCGAGCTGTTCCGAATTTGACCCCTGATGTGAACCTCTATGGGATGATGTTAAAAATTAGTCTAGCGAGTATGCAAGCAGATCTAACATCTGATTTTTTAATTAGATTGAGTTTAATACATGATATTTTCAAGTCTTTGTGAGTAGATAAGGATATAAAGAATAGAGAAACACACCTGCTTCTGTTTCCAGGGACTGTTTCAGCACCTTTTCTGCCTTGTCGTATTGGCGTAATTTCAGCAACAGTTCGGCAAGGTCATGTCTACAAACAAAGAAAAAAATTAAATGATGATAAGCTGATGAACAATTTTGCTTGGTTAATGTAAATTAATTTGAAATAACTATCTATTACATGTATGTACAATGCCATGTAATAAATGGAATATACTCATTTGTTTGGAAATCATTTGATAAATCATATGCATAATATATTCCTGATATTTTTTTTTTTTTTTTTTTTTTATACATGTATACATGTACTTCTTAGCATATAATGTTGTTTAAATGTATTGTAACTTTATTGTTGTAAAGTGTTTGATGCAAAAGAGAAATATTTTATCTCATGTATGTGAAACTTCAACTCTGAATTTACATCCCCAGAAAGTGAAAAACAAGTTAGTAAAACATAAATCAATGATGACTGTCCATGAAAAATCAGAAATCAGAAATTCTATTTTTTTTTTATTTTAAAGAAAGAAACTGTAATCAAGAAACAACAAATTAAAATTCCTCTTCAAAATCTCAAATTTAGGATTATACCTTTCTTTATAGTACTTTTTCAGTTTAGTTGCACTAGAACAAGTTAATATAATCATAAATTAATATCATTTAGCTCCTGAAAATAATCATTTAGCTGCTGAAAATAAAAAATAATAATCTTATATACATTTTTCTTAAAAATATATGCATACGAGGGTCATTCAAAAAATACGTAGATAATGCTTCTCATCGTCATATAATTATTACAAGATTATAGATCAACACATTTTCGTAAACATAAACATTTATTTTGTCGAAGTGTGAAGTTTCATTCCATTTGATTAAATAGAACTCTTGTTAGGCAATATTTAAACCAACATGTTTTGTTATCACGGAGCACGTTAACCAACATTGTAACGTCAAATAAAACGTTGAGAAAGTTTGTCAAAATTATACTAATTTTCTTAATTTCAAACACGGTTTGTAGCGTCTTCTCCTTTCAAAAAACATATCCATAACACTTAACACCTAGTTTGCGAACAATTGTACAAATATAGCTTGAATAAGAATGTCATTGTTTTCAAATTCTTTAATTTACCATGTAACTCTATTAATTCTGCAACAATGAAGCACACATCACGTTCAATGACGTTCCTAACTCTTTCGACAATATTCTTAACTTTAATCTGTTTCTTTGCAGACAATCCATCGTCCGATTCAAACTCGCTACCACTCAAAAATTGTATTTTCCATTTAATACAAATACACAGATTATTTTTCATACAGATCCTGGTTTATACGGATTTTTTAAGCTTGTAGAAGAAGTTTCCCGATTGTAAAGTACAATTTTATTGCTACTTGATGCTCCGTGACGTCCTACAACGTCATGGTTTTTTTGCTTTTTTTAATCCAGTCCATATGTATTTAGAAACTGATATCTTTTAAATGGAGTGACATATTACATAGCCTGGTTTCATTTTAATTAATACAGCAATACTTTACTTAAACATGCAGATTTTATTTTGTTTCAGCTCCATTTATCAGAGGGTGGTTGTAAATACTATAAAGTGAAAATTAGTAAATTACTCAATTTGGACGGTGCTCCATGACCCCATTTTTGCTGTTCTAAATCCTTGGTAATTTTAACAAATATGAAGATACATTCCAATTTTTTTACTTAAATTATTTGAATCTGCTGTCAAAATATTTGTACCAAATTTGGATATAATCTGACATTAAATAAAAGAGTCTACGAACTTTTTGAATGACCCTCGTACATCTATAGTTATTCATTCTTACAAAAATATCTTTACTCCTTTTAATGGTATTAGTATTATTTAATTACATGTATATTTTAATGAGTTGAATTATGATGAAAATTTCAGTATAATATTGAGAGTGAGATAGTTTGTGTCATCAGATGAACACAATATTGACACATCTTTCATAAAACAGTGTAAAAATTTGATATGTGCCCTGATTTGATTTTACCTTACAAATCTTTTAAAACTTTTAGAAACAAACAAAAGCAATTATATTTTCATTTTCTCTCACTTTACACATATATATATGAAAAGTAAATCCACTTTACCTATAACATAAACAGATACAGGTGATTACATACAAATGGAGAGTTACAGGTATTGTAGACATATAAACAGCAGTTAAGAGACTTGAAACATGTAGTATACATTAAATTCAACAGTTTTACACATAGTTTTGACAGGTATAAAATTTATATAAGTGCTACACAGGAATGCTACATATTCAATAAAACATTAACTTACCTCAAAAAGCCTTGATTGTTGCCGTTTCTTAATGCAGCTTCATAGTAGTTTATTGCCTTCAAACATTAAATTATCAAAATAATATCAAAATGCACACAACCATTTATTCACAACAGTATTCTAACAAAAGACACATTTAAAGAAAGAATATTATAAAGTGATCCATAAGACACTGAGAGCTGAATTGTATGTTTGTTGTTAAATATCTTTCAATAGTTATGTTATGATCAGTATGTTTTTCTATGTAACATACCTTTCCATAGTTGTGAGTCTTGACCAGGGCTTGACCAATCTTGCTGGCCAGCTGAGTTTCTTTTGGATTGCTCTTCATTGCTCTCTCATAGACCTCAATGGCTTTATCAGGCTGAAACAAAACAAATCCTCTATAAAAACTAATCATGATGTACTTACATGTAGAAAGTGCATTATACATTCTTCTTTACAGCAATTTATATCAGTACACATATACTAAATATGACTACTTGCTGATCAAATTAAGTTAAGTAAATCTAAATGAGCTTTTATTGTTGTGATACCAACCTCTTGAATACTCATGTAGGCATCACCCAATAATAATGCTGTCTCTACATTGGGCTGTTTGTCATATAGCTCCCTGAAATATAAAAAAAAATACAGTTGAACTTTGGGATCTCAAACATTGATATCTCAAATACCATAGATACATGTATGTCAAAGTGATTTGGAAGTCCCAACCACTTATTCTTTGAGCATTTTACCCTAGATATCTCAAATCATGGGATATCTCAAAATGTTTACTCAGTTCAATTGAGTTCCAGATAGTGAGATTTGAATGTAATAACATTTTGGGGGGGAAAATGAAAACCTACAATTTTGAGTAATTTACACTCTTAAAAAAAAAAAAACTAGAAAGTTTCAGTATACCTGTAGCAGCCAGTGTACAGCCTCTTGTCTTTCTTGTGATGGAGATAAATGTCTGCCAGCTTCTCCCTGGACTTGACGTAGTATGTCTGATCTGGCGTGATGTTCCGCAGCATCGTGATGGCCATCTCCACGTCCCCTCTGGCGATGGATAGGTCAGCGTTAGCAATGGCGATTCTCACCTCCTCAGCGGTGCCGCCGAAATCGTTAATGGCATCCTGCATTACCTTAGCTGCCTCATGCTGTTAGAGATGGTTAATATGATCCATATTAAACTGTCTTTACATGAGTACTTAACTCTTTTTTTTTTTTTTTTTTTTAGTAAAATTAATCTCTTTCAGTGATAATTAGGAATTTAATCTACAAATAATTTTTTTTCTCACATCTTTTATACATACTTATAGAAAACATCCATGTAAATGTATTTAATTTTACATAGGGCTAGGTTAATTTTTTTTCTTTGAGGCTTGTTGTCCACTACTTACTGTTTCTCCCAGAGAAGTATGGGCCTCGGCCAGTTCTAGGTACACAGACACTCTGTCATTTGTACTGATGTCTAGCATCTTCCCCTTCTTTGGCATCTGTCCCTTTCCTGTTAATGCAATGCACACTAATCAAAGCCATTCTAAGTCATAGTAAGAATCTTTCAATTTTAATTTCCCTTCCAGCAAGATGTAAGTCCAAAATAAATTGTATATTGCATTCAAAACATTGCATATTATATTTCATTTTTCATTCATAATTCATAGCATTATATTCACTTCATATTCACTTTTTTTCATCAATAAAAGACAACGAAATGTAACTGTAACTAACTGGTCAATATAACATGAGCCATCACATGTTTTTATACTGAGTTCACATCAAAACTCACCAGCTGATTTGACCCCTGGCAGAGCCATGGCCATTTGAAGAGTTTTAACAGCCTCCGCTGAATCTCCTGACTTCTTCAGGATGCGAGCCTTAATCAGATGATACAGGGGGTGGTCCCTCACCTGTCAATCAAATTTAAATAATAAAACATCTACTTCATTCTGATGAAAACTGTTCAGTTTTGCATGCATTCATTTTAATAAATAAATCTAGGTATATTTCTCCCAGATCCAATTGACTCATTTTATTCTACTTGGCCAACAATTAAAGATATTCATGACAGTTAATTCAACATAATCTCCCCGAACAAACTTTACTTCTGACAAAATTCTTTCACCATTTTGCCTCACATAAAGGCCTCACTTTATGATTGCAGACTTCCACTCAGAATAAATTCCATACTGACTGACCTCGAAGTTGTAGCTGAGTCCGACCTCCAGTGACTGGTTGGCAAGTTTAAAGTTGTTCTGGTAGAGGTGGATCTGAGCCATCAGGATGTGGGCGTCTGAGTACGTGTTCTCCATCTCCAGGCAGTGATTCAGGGTCCCCTGGGCCGCGTCTATGTCACCTACAACAGGAATATACAAATGTAAATCAGTGGTGCTTTTATATGTTTATGTTATCACATCATTTCTTTTTTGTATTAAACAATGTTCATATGTTCATTTTTAGACTGTAATATAAAATGAAAGAGGAACAACTGGACATGGGGCAGATCCAGAGATGGACACAAGACAGACCTTCATGGATGTCTCTGGTAATGTCTTTATGTGCTGACCAGCACGAAAAGGACTAGGTGAGTAAGTAGAATGTACATAATTATCATTTCATTTAAGTTTTAATTCATAGCATACCTTGAAGGAACCTGACTTTGGCCATTAGGTACAGGGCCTCTAGAAGTCCTGGTACAGTCCGGGTCAGGGCCTCCAGTACCTGATTACAGCGCTTCAGGAGTGGATCCGGGGGCTGACCCTGCTTTATTGGCTGTAAGAGCAATAAATTGATTTATTAAAAATTGAAGCCATTGATCAGGGATCCTAGTTATTTGGTTTTTTGCCTTTTAAATTTAGACTTTTTCGCCTGCATATTCATATTTTTTAATTACCAACATGCAAACTTACTTGTGTGGGAGCAAACACTAAGAAGTCTTTGATCATCTGGAGCAGAAAGTCTGGATTGAGCAAGAGGAAGTACTGAGGACCAAGGGGATTTCCCTATAAAGGATAGAAAGGTTGTATAAAACTTCATCACTTTAGGTTACTAGTACTTGATTTAATCATATAAACCAAAACAAAGTTTTCCCAATTTCTTCCAGTGGACTTACTTTTAGGGCTGAGAAATGAATCTCCACTGCTTCATTCAAGAGTTTGTAGGCTTTCTCTGGTCCTTCACCTCTCTTTATAGCCAATGCAGCACTCAGGTAGGCCAGTTCCTATAATGAAATTTAGTTTCTTTTTCATGATGATTAAATGAATGTCCATACATGAGCTGCTTCTAAAATTCTCTAGAGGAGTTGTCTCCCTTTTTTGGGAGCACCACTTACCGATGTCCTTCCTATACTCTGCTGTACTTCCTGTAGGAAATCTAACTGTTGAGCCGCATCATCCAGCTGGTTCTCGATCAGCTGACAGCGAATGATACCTGTACAGAAAGGACATTGGTTAAATTTTTATATATAAACTTGTCATTTTTGAAATGAAAAGTCAATACACTAAACTACAATATGTGAAACAATTGAATGCATATAACGAATTTTTTTTTTAGATTTGTTACAGCTAAAATTTGCTTTATCTCATTTCGCTATGCAAAGCTTTCTTGAACTTCTGTCTATCAGTAAGGACGAGCCAAAATGATGAAATTTCAGAAATAAGGCAACCCCAGCCTGATTTAACCTCTATGTCATCAAACAAACCTGTGAGAGACTGAACACTGGTGTCGTTGATTTTCATGGCGTTCCTGTAACATTTCATGGCGTCCTTGACCTTTCCCTGTAGGAGGAGCTGGAAGCCTAGTTCGTTTATATACTCTGTGTTCTCTGGATCCTGCTGGACAGATCGCTCCACTAGTGTATAGGTCTGCTGTAGAACCAGGGCATTCCTCCCACACTGCCAATAAAAACGTATACTTATTATAAGGGGAGAAACATCCTGCTGCAATAAAATGTTAGTTCTCTTTTTCTTTTTTGTATCCATGCCAGTTTCTGGGTTTAATAGATATATATAAAAGATGAAAATGCAAAAAACTAGAACTGTCCAATAGGGACAAATACCCCCCGCTGGGTTTTTCAGAGAAGGTGCCAATTCAAAAATACTTTATGGATCTAGAGGTGTTCACAATTTACTTACAAAAATTTGCAGTGAAATACAATTGCTCATCATGTTTCTTAATGAATGAAACAAAGGTGCAACCAAATGAAACATCAATACTAATACATTGTAATTCCATTTTAACATTATTTTTTTTATTTAATTTTTTTATTTCTGCATTAAAAAAATATATTGCAATTATGTGTTATGTCACTCTGCAAACTGATTGTTGAAAAAAAAAATCATATTATACAAAATCAAATTAATCTTGAGAACTTTATATCGATTCATTTGAAAATAAAGAGCTGGTCATCCAGTAATGAAGTGCTTTGACAGACAATAAATTACAATTAAGAGAATAAGAGAAGAGAGATCTTTAATTCTTGTGCCTGATTCCCAGGAGATTACACATGGTTGATAATAAGATGCCTTAATGTTCAACTTCCTACACCAAACTCATTAATTTATCTTTAACTGGATGCATGTCCAGTCATTATTCCCAAGAGATAAATAAAATTACATTATCTTCTGTGCAATGTAAAAACTGTTTTTAACTCTTGATGATGTTTCTTTTTTTAAGTTTATACAAGTAGTTTTAAGCTGTAAAATTTTTGTACAGATATTCTAGATTCTATGTCTAAAACCTTATACATGAGCCCAAAATGAACAAGTCAATTAAAATAAAAAATAAAACCTGTAAAATGCAAAAAAATGAACAAAAAGAGTTGAAAATTCCAATTGCACACCTTCATATGGTGAAAAATAAGTGTACAAATTTTCAGATTAATCCTTGCAATAGTTTCTGAGAAACAGTCCGGATAAAACCACAAAATAAAAATGAAAAAACACCTGTAAAATTCAAAATAATAATCTAATCAAGATGAAAATATCAGGTGCACAACTTCATATGGTGATTAATATTTGTACAAATTTTCAGACAAATCCTTCCAATAGTTTCTGAGTAATGGTCCGGACAAAATCTCGTCTACAGACAGACAGACAGACGGACAGACGGACATGGTGATTCCAATATACCCCCCCTAAACTTCGTTTGCGGGGGGTATAAAAACCGTTTACCAAAATCAGTGTTCACATTTATCAACTCACCATTCTGCAAAATATCTGGGCCATGTGGTAGTAAAGGAAAGCACTGCGTGGTTCAAATCTATCTAGGGCTGATATAACATCTCCTATCTTGTTGGAGGCCTACAATAATAAATCACAAGATAAGCCTAAGAAAATAGAATTCCAGTGAAAGATAATAGCTGGAGTTCTATCTTTTATGCTGTACAGACCTCAGAGTAGTTGCCCTCCCTGGCCAGTAGGTAGATAACTTGGTACTTCAGTGCTTCTGTGCAGTGAAGGTCTGCATCCAATGCTCTATTAATACAATGAAGAAAGTCAATACAAGCTTTTGGACATACAATACATAGTCATTTAATTGTTTTAAGACACTATCATTAAAGTTTGAAAGTAAATGTTTACTTCAATTTCTGTTTTTCAAACTACGAACTTATGCCATTTATAAGCTTTTTTGAAGCTGAGATGCTAGTATTTGAGAAATATCTTTAAGTTCTGTTCACATAAGTTTCATCACTGGAAATTCCTAAATTATTTTTGTACAAAACTGTAACTATAAATACCTTTGAGCTGTTTCAATGGCTTGGTCCCAGTCCTGAAGATTGAGCTGTAGTTTCATTTTCTCAATCAGGGCTGGCATGAACCCCTGATAGGTCACAATCAGCTGATTAATTAGTTCTAGTGCACCAGTAAAATTGTGTCGCGACTCCAGGTACTTTGCCTTTCCCTTTGTAAAAGCAGAAACAGTCCTCCATAATACAAACCCTGTGATGGAAAAAAAAGATTAAATACCAACAAGTAGATTCCCAGCGCATTTATATCCCGAGAACCATCCATTCTGTAATAAAGTTTTAAAAACAAACTCTATATCATAAAATAAGTGATAGTACACATATACACCAATTTTTGCTAAGCTGAAGTTGAAAATAAGTGTCAGAGACTAGGTTAAATTGAAACTTTATCATTAAAAATTGGATTAACTCTCTAAAATCTTGTTGTCTTAAGCTTTAAATCCCTTGTTAATAAACTGAAGGAGATAACACTGCAAAACAAGTCAACTTTATATAATGTCTAATTTATCTGATAAACTTTCCTTCTTCCTTTAGAGATGAAAATACCATGCAAGAGAAAACACTGGACATGGTATAAAAGTATTTTCTGATTTCACTCACCCAATGGCATCATCAAAATATTTAATTGCTTTCTTTGCCTCTCTGCCGCTCAACAATTCAACCCATCCTTTGGCAACAAATCCCTATGTGAATACAAATTCAGAATTATAAATCTCTTGCAAGTGTATGTATTTTCACGGAATAAATGAACAATTGCTACATGACCTCTCATTATAATGAAAATCATGTTAAACATCTAATGAATCATTTACTTAAAAAACTTCAAAGCAATACTGCATGCAAAACATACAATGAAATACAAATTTACAAATTTTTAAACCTGAACTTGGAATATCAAAACAGAACACATGGATGGCTTACATAATACTTTATAAATGCTGTGAAGTCTGTCTTCTATAAATTATAAAACAATTCCTCTTTTACATAACAACTGGACATTACACACGTTGATCACTATAATTACATGTACATAACTAACACACACACACCCTCCCTCAAACACACACATAAAATTGTGTTTATACATGTACTTTACTGCCTCAAACTTTGTTGCAGTGGGATAATTAACAGGGATAAAACATAGGGGCTTGTCTTCCGTTCTTTTTGGGTCAATTCAGCGAGATGAGCTCAAATCGAAGAAATTGTATCCGTTTATTGTTGATTAAACGCGTGTTCACGACTGACAATCACATCAACATTTAGGAAAATCATCACTGTAGGGGACAGAGCCATGATACCGAAATAAATTAATGGTTTAGATCTTTATTTTAACAACTTTTAAGTGTATTTAAAGAAGATTCAAAATTTTTAAAATTTATTTTACATTTAGCAATCCGGAAGACAAGCCCCTATGGGATAAAATTGTAAAAGGGGTACCAAAAAAATTTGATGCAATTGATTTTTTTTTCAAATCATTTGTGAACATTTTTTTTTCTTACCTCTTTAGTGGTAGCCATTTTTAGCATTCTGTCAATGTATTCTCTGGCTTTGTCTGGTTTGCCATTTAGCAACAGAAATAGTCCTCCATAGTACAAACCCTTTGATAGAATTAAAAGAGTAAAATACCAACAGAAATCAAAATAGCAAATAAAGAAAAAGTACCTAACTCCATTCTATATAAGTACCTCTACAAATTAATTACAGACCTGTTTACCCATATCTTCGCCTCTCAGTATTTTTGATTGAATTTCTCCGTGCGATTTGGCATTTGCCAGTAAGATTTAACTTTCCATCGATTTTACAAACATTAAAAGAGAACTGCTTTTCTGATTACAAAAACTTGGTTTAACAACATGGTCTTTGTCCTTTTACAATACCAGAGCATTTTGGCAACCCGACATCACTTCAGTGTTTTAAATTTTTCTCTTTTTTAGTGATTCAAAGGCGTGAAACGAAGATAGATCATAATGAAAACTAACAGCTAAATTCCAAACAAATGTATTTCCGATTTCCGTATTTTCATAATAGCAAAATGTGAGACATATTTTAAACTAAAAATCCGTACAAAATACGATGAAATCGCAAGAGTAAACAGGTCTGTAATTACAAAATGTAATACTGTAAAATCATATATTTTCCTGGGGTAAATTTTGTGGTTTGAGGAAAAACTATGGGTTTAAATGGGATTAGATTTTGTGGTTGCAGATTTATAGAGTAGTTATGTATACGACATATTTTACATTTTGTGGTGGAAGTGAATTCTTGGGTCTCTTAATTCAAAAACCCCCATGAAAATTAGTGATTTCACAGTTTAAGTATTTCATTAGAAAAAAGAATCTAAAAATAAATTTAAAATAAATGACTATTTTTATTTGAATTCTGTATTTTTCTTCCTCACCATTTCTCCACTTTGTTTTCTCTCTTCCTTTAGTTTGGCATCCAACTCTTGAACAGCCTCTCGATCTACGAAAGAGAAGACTGTGAATCAGAAGAGAGAACCAACTACAATGCATATTTCCTGATGACACGAAAATTAACTTTGATCTTGTCTATGGTATTGCTGATTTAAATGGATGTTTAACAAATACAATGATCATTAAACAATTACAATATTCATTTACAATAAATAAACTCACCAACAGATTGGCTGTGCTTGTGTGCATAAATCAGAGCCATTGTAGAGCAAATATTAACATCTCTCTTGTCTTTCAATACATCAAGCTCCCGGATTCCTTCTTGAACCCGACCTAAAGCAATATTTTTTCACAGATCTATAAATCTATCAATTTGATTTAGATGGTAAGTAAACTGTACATGTAAATGTATAGAAATCATGTAAATTAATTTTTTTCTCTGCACTATTATAATCATGTGTAGGACAACAGCAATCTCTACATATGTTAATGTATTGGAAGTTTGGAACAGAGGAAATTAATATTGAACTACACATTAGTCATTAATTATTTAAAACAAAGACAGGGAGTCAGTTCCCAAACTTTCAAGATCAGACTTCCACAAACCTAAAACACTTAAAATAACTGGTACAGCATCAATACATTGATGCCTTCTTGCGGAATCAATGAAAAAATATATGTGCCTTATAGAGATACATTTTGTAGCAGTTCGAAGACAGAAGATAGGAGTGAAACGGTTCACCGCGGTATTTTTTCTCGGTTCGATACACGGTACAAAATCTCTATTTTCGTTTTTGTTTTTTTTTTTCGGTCGGGATCGTCATTCCATTAAGTTTGGCATAAGGTATAAACATGCTCCTCCATATAATTAGTTCAAAAATGTAAATTTTTGTGGACTTCAAATTTAAAAAATAATTTTAAATTGTTTGACTAGATTAAGAAAAAAGAAGAATAAAACAACAGTTGAATTTGTTTCCATCTGTCAAAATGTATCGTATCGAAAATAAACGAACCAAGACCAAATTTTACGATACATATCGAACTGTGAAGGACATGTATCGTGTCACCCCTAACAGAAGAGCAATTGAAACTGACATTCATGACATGAATTCAATGTGTATTCTCTTCATTTGAATAAAATTAAATTGCAACTTTACAAAACATACACATATTTCAATTTCAATAAGACTTTTGAAGTTTGCAACTGATATCATGTGAAATCACAGTCTAGATTTCAAATTAAACAGATCACTGTACTGAAACGTAACAATGTACTTGTTCAGTTGTTACACTATTAAACATATTACGTAAAAATGGAGTGAAATGTGTGAAAATTATCACAAACCTTGTAAAATAATTGCATATGCCCTAAAGAACTTTAGGACAGGGTCATTACTGAACTTCTGTAGGCCTTCGACCGCTGCATTTTCCATGTGACAGTAATAATTCTCCCTGCAGTAGTAGGAAATTTTTCCCTAGAAGAGATGTGTACAGAAAAATTGCAAGAGACCAAGACATCTAATGTATAACTTAAAATTTAAGGAAAATTTATTTTAAAAAAAAGGGTTGAACAGTTCAGATGTTGAATGACTAACAGGTCTGGTACAATCACTAGATTTAGCTACGTAGCTTGATTTACCTACTTAGATTTATTTACCTACCTGAGCCGAGGTAGCTTTATTTAGCTACCAGATCAATTTATATCTATAAAAAACATTTTTCTCAGGTTGCGCGAAAAATCCCAATTTGATGCAGTGATCATTTTCAACTTTGAACTCATCTGAAAACAATTCATGAAAAAATCACTCTTGAAGAAATGTCTTTTTCTGCGCAATTGCAATCAAAGTTCTGAACGTTTTGGGGCTATGTATGACAGCTAGAACAGTTACTCCTGGAATGAAATGACAAAGAAATCCAGTTCTGGTTAACATGATAATAGGTCGGTAATTATTCTGCACTGTGGCACAATGTGAAGTGATCATACTCAGCCATGCCTCACCCCACACAATAGAAAGGACAGTTATCCAAACAATGAAATTACATGTTTTGCTCTAAATTGTCCAAATGCAGCAATGTATAAACTATCTCTGCTTTGGCTTGTTTTTTAAAACCTCACTAGTATAAATACTAGAGGTACTGTGAGCAATGAGCTCACTAAATGATACCCCCACCTCCCATAATGTCCATGTGTTGCTAAATATTGTTTTACGGTAATGTGTAAAAAGGAATAACTCATCCTATCAAATGTTATCCAGAAGCTTCTATATGTGACGTCATAGGTAAACATATAATGGCAATGTCCATGTTTTGCTATGGGAAACCTAAAATACGTGTCGAATAAAAAAGTAAAATAGGAGGTGCACAATGGCAATATGTAATAAAGATTCTGTGAAAGTTTCATTAAATTTCACTCATTAGTATAAGAGGAGTTGCGGATAAGAGATAAAGCGTAACAGACGGACGGATGGACGGAAATCCCGATCACTATATAGTATATACCCTCCCACTTTTCAGGCGGGGGGTATAATTAATAGTCATTGAATTGCGACTTTTTGTCTCTTTTTAATAAAAAGAAAAACTTTGAAAAGTTGCATTGAAATAGCTAAATAAATGAATAAATAATTCTACCTACATAGCTAAATCTAGTGATTGTACTGGACCTGACTAATGTGATGTTTTACATTTCGAAAGCTTGAGTAGAGATGTTTTTATTTCTTTATTTTGAAACAAAGAAAAGGGTTATATAAAAACTACCTTCAGAAATATCAACAAATCGAACAATATTTATAAAATCTTTATAAGCAAAATTGTAAATAGAAGAAAAAAACTGAGGAAATTCGAAATTAAAATAACATTATCACTTTTCGCAAAGGAAGAAAGTCGATTTCCACTTTCTCTGGATAAAATATTTATTTCAGTCTTTTGAATGTACATACTATTATTGTAGGATCTGTGTCTACCATCCTGGCAGATTTAATGACTGATTTCTAGGACCTATTTTGCCGCAAAACTGTTGCTGTTTGGGAATTTCTCTCTGCGCATGACATGAAAAAGTTTATCTTCCGGTAGGTCAACTTCGTCGTTGAGAGAACTGAAAGGGATCGTTTTCAAGAACAGTGATATAATCTGGGAGTCATTTTTTTTAAATGCTGTAAATGATATTCATATTCTCTGGAAATAAATATGGTAATAGTTTTAAGCGTCAAAGATAGAAAAACATGAATATTTATAGTATTTCACAAGGAAAAATTTATATAAGAAATTACTCTCCCTTTCGATTATTCAATTGATCGCACCATGACAATTATTACAACAAATCCACGCTTCCGGAAAATAAGCGTGTTAATCCCAATTAATGACCATATTGTAAATATTGATATTTAAGAAGAATCAAAATATGGCATTAAAAATTGATGTAAATAAAGGTCCTCTCACCTTGACACATGATCGTAAGTATTAGGAATTTTAAACAAGAAAATTATAACATAGATCAAATAAAAAGTTTAAAGTTAAAAAAAAATTTCCTTAAGTAGTTGTAGATTACTTTTAAATTCCAGAAAAAATGTCATTTTTCTGGAAAGTGAAAGCAGCGTTTTTTTTCCAGACTTTTTTAAATGAAAGTTTTGAGAAAGAGATAAAAAATATATTGATATAAAGTTATCTAACACTAATCCTGAAATTATTTTATTTTCAAAAAAAAAATCACAGTATTGCTTGAATTTAAAGTAGTGTAGCACAAATACTCTTTTTAAAAAAAAAAAAAAAGAAGAAGAAGAAAAAGTTAGTACGAACTGAGAAACGATTTTCCAATGCTATGAGCAAAAGTGTTTAAATCTAAATTTACTTTGCTTCCAGGGTAGTAGAATACACAAAGTAGATTAGCCCCCTATTGTGTTGACATAATGATCAGTGATAAAATTATCTTCCTAGCCCCCTGCCAAATCCCACGGACAAACTCTCACAAGACACAGAAGTATTTACTTGAGAATTATAATGACATAATATCGCAGACGGTGCGATACATTATATACTGGTTCGATCTACCCATTATTGAGAGACAATGTATACTGTGTCTACTCTCGCTATATCATCAAATTGAACGATGTTTTAAGTTTTTAAAGATTAAATCACTTTATAAACATTGAAAGCAATAATTTTGCTCTCAGTTTGTGTAACCAAGCCCCTTTAGCAAATAAAACTTAAAATTGTTTTAATGAAACAAGGGTAAGGAATATGACATTTTTATTGATGGTGCTAATGTTTTTATAAGTTTTCACATCACAATGTTGAATGAAATAATTGAATAACTAACACAGCTTTCTTTAGATATACACAACTGCTAATATTAAAGTTAATCTTATCTTATTGTCAAAGAAATCTTAAATATAAAGGAGAGAGAGAGAGAGAGAGAGAGAGAGAGAGAGAGAGAGAGAGAGAGAGAGAGAGAGAGAGAGAGAGAGAGATTGTTTCTTGTAAGCTAAAAATTAGGACATTTTGATATACAATTTCTTATTCTGACAATCTTTTAAATATGCCATTTTCTTAGTCTATCAATCCTACGACCATTGATCTAGGACAGCTTCATTCATTGATATGCTACAGACTGTCTTTTGCGTTGGCAAGTACAATTTACATAACCTGCAGAAACAAATTCTCTGACATAATGGAACCCATTTAGCATTCCTTTTCTCTGAAGCAATGTCTACCGGTATAATGTGATGCTAAGTTGATATTCTCAATTATTCACTGATCATGAAAGAATGATTAGATGACCTCTTTCTTCTAATCAATATTATATGTTTAATTTAATTGTCATCCAATATCAAGTTTATAGGGGGGCTGCTGTCAAAAAATCTATGTTAATAAATACTTGGGTCGAAAAAAGCCTATTTAATCAATACCTAGCTATAAAATAGAGTCATTGTCTCTACACGCTCAACTGGAATCAGATATCGGTCTTTTGTTTTATAGGGTTTTAAAAAAAGACAGAAAAAGCCAATGCTTTGGTCTTATCTCTTTACTTTCAATGATATTTTCTAAAAAGACACAGTGAGTTACTTTGGAATGTGATTAAACAATAAATTTCACAAAAGCGCTTTTGTTACACTGGATCAATATTTTTGTTTTTGCCTTTAATTCTTTTCAATCCTATAAGTCGAAATATATTCATTTAAAAGATTCCTTTCTTGGACTAGGTTTAAATTGTTAGGCATACACTTTTAAATAGCATTTAATTTCAAATGTACACAAGGCATATATTTATGAATAAGAAATTTTTGATGGGTAAAAAATATGGTTCTAGTGAAAGATTAATAAGTTAAAATGTGAGTTAAACCACCTTTACAGAATTAACAGATTGCTATAAAACATTAACTCCCATTGACAACAGAACGGCGATGTATAAGATAGATTATTTAAATGGTTAGTTAGCAGTTTATGTTCAGAAGTCAATATTTAAAATAGGAATATAGTCCTCGCTTTCGCATAGAATTCAGGAGGCTATTTCACTATTAGTTTAAACACTTCACAGACTTTCCCTGTTTTTACCAACATTGACCAATTCCGTACATTTCCCGTGGCATTTAACCAAACACCGTCTTTATATTTTCTTGTTGGCAAGCAATCGGTGTTTTGAAGCAACGCTAGATTGTGTGCGGTGAAAAGGGATTTGATACTTTTTTTAAATGTGGAATTAACTTTCTTTCTACTTTGGTGGTTACAATCGGAAAAAAATTGGGATTTAATTTTCTGGGTGCTTATTTATTCATAGCAGCTTTAATCTTAAATTTGAAGTGAAGGAATACACACATAGTGACGAAAATGGCATTCGTTTTAGCCCCAGAACGTAAGTATAACATAATTTTAAAAAACAATTCATTTTGCTTTGAATAAAACATTCTGAAGATTTAAATGGTTGCTAAGGTGATCAGAGTAAACAAATCCCCAAACAAGGGGGGAATAATAAATGAAAAATATCAAATCACTTTGAAATAACATTTCAAGATACACTAATCGCAGTTGAAACCATACAGTAAAATCTCTTTTTGGAAAAAAAAGATGATCGTAGCTGTTGCTATGTTCATGGTAATACTAAGAGGATTGGCTAGAAATACATCCTAAAATACATTTTTATAAAAGCTGCCTACTAAGCTTTATATGGAAAACGCAGCTGGAAAAGCTAGAAGTATTAATAAAGCCTGCTTTTTTGATACTCTCAAACAGAGAAAAACAATATATTTGGCTACATTCATATTCTAAGCTTGGATCATTGAAATGACATTTTATATCAATGATTTTTTAAAGTTGAAGCATGATATGATACTAGCATCTAAATTATTCATTTATGGTACGAAAGTGCTTTAGGACAAAACTACTGAATTCCCTGCTCTTCCGATTCATGCCTTCACGACTTCAAATTACAAAGGTTGAAAAAGCCACAACACTCCAACCAATCGTATCTTCCTGAAAATGATAAACGTATCCAAACTCTTGTCGCTGTGACTATATAATTTGTATATATCAATTTTAAAAAGTTCCGCTTAGTCAACCATTATAATTAATATCTATCTCCTTTTTTGAAGTTTCGGTTCATTAATTTATCAAAGATTTATTATTTGATCGATTGTCGAAGTCAATCCGCAGAACAAATAAACTGAAGCATTGAAAATACTCCCTCAACTGTTTGAAAGTTAAATGTGTAGGCAAGTAACTTGTTTAATTGATACATAACACCAATGTTAAATTTTTAATCTGTCATAATAGCAAAATTTTACCCTAGCAATGTAGATTGATCTGTTTAAAAAAAAACTGAAGCACCCCTACGTCTTATCTAATCTAATGTGCCAAATCGGGGTATTGGATTTAAATCTATATTTTATTTCCTATTCCACAGTGGACAATTTAATCTGGTTAAACTTGGCAAATAAGCAAAAACTATAAAAAATAATACAGAGAGCTAGAACTCATAGAATGAAGTAAAATTATGAGGATCAAGGTTTAGTTAAATACCTTTCAAATTGAAACTAAGGAAGAGAAATGAGGAATCTCAGTTTTCGATTCGTAATTCAATTCGCATAAGTATTCCAGTAAAAGTTATTTAAACATTAGAAGAGTAGGGGGGGAGGGGGTCTCATAATAAGTATATCAACTTGCAAATACATGTATCCATGTATGTATGTATAAATACTTCAAACAAAAGTTATTTAAATATTGGAGGGGCAAGAGGGAGAGGGTGTACAATACATTAGTAGGAATTCTTTTTGCATGAATAAGATTTGCCATTGAGTGAAAAGAGGGGAATTCAATTGATTTGTTTTCTAGCGTTTTAAAAAAAAGAGTTTTGACATATTTGTTTAACCATTGTGAAGAAAAAGAAGAGTGTACAAAATACATATCAGTTTCACCCTATCTTTGTTCTCACTGATGTGCATGAATAATAAGGTCCAAAATTTAACACGAAAGTATACTATAGAGTGTCATTGTTTATTGAATACATAATCCTTGCACCTTATAAAAAGATTTGCTCATTGTATAATTTTTATTTTCTCAATCTTCTTAGTGCAGCTTAAGTTATTGGCAATCGCATACAAACTGAAGTTGCATTATAGTTCACCTCTGGCCATAGCATTTATTCATATTAAAATATTTTGGGACCTACTATCAGATGCCATAAAATACTTGTCTGAGAGTCTACTCCAAACAAATTGAATATTTTGACATTTTGTTTAGTGGACTGTATCGAATTTTGATTAAAAAAAAGAGAGAGAGAGAGAGAGAGAGAGAGAGAGAGAGAGAGAGAGAGAGAGAGAGAGAGAGAGAGAGAGAATTTGAAAATTACTGTAAATTCAAAATGTTGTCTGAAATTGAAAAAAAAATGATGCCATTTGAGGAAAGAAAAAAAAATAGCTGAGAATGTTGATGGATTTTGAAAAAAAAATCAATTTCAGTGTAGTGTCATTGGTTCTTAGAACTTTTGTTCAGTGGATTGTTCAAACCATTGAGAAATACACGAAGAGGATTGCTATACGATGTATGATTTTAAATGGAGAGTAGATTCAATTTTAATCTCAAGCAAACTTGGTACTCATTTAATCAAACAGGTAAACTGACGTAATATCTAAGTTTTCTATATGTGTTTTCAAATTAAAAGGAGGCATTTGGGACCTGAATATCAAGTATTAGGAAAGTGATTTATAGAAACATTTGAATATTCTCAATGATTCTTTGTTAAATGTGGATTTTAATATATCCTTCAATGATTCTTCAACCAAATATACAAGACCCCTTCTGCTTGTATCTGAATTTGGCTTAATGGCAGACTTTGTATTATTGATCATATAATGTTAGGAACAAATCACTTTTCACGCCATAGAAACTCTCATGTTATAGCTGCGGCACCCAGTGAAATGTCGTTCTCTGTTCTATTTTGTCGGCTAAAAATGACATTCCGAGACAATATGGGGTTCATTGATTTCTGCATTAATTACCATTTACATTTGGAAGCAGGCTAGGGTCTCCTTGGACACAAACAATCAAATCTCAGAAAAGCTGGTGTATCTCCACATGCGCAGATTTCTGTAATAAAAGACCTCCACATGCTCATGACTTTTTCAAATATGAAATGTATAATTCATTTATAGTCGTAATCATACAAAATGTTATAATGATAAGGTTATTTGCATGGATGTTATAGTTATATAATCATGAATTTGAGTATCTACTTAAATATTACATACTGTAAAATTTCAAGGTTTAAGTACAAAATATTGGTTTATGTGGGAACTTCATTCCGTTGTAGAAGAATGCAGTACTGCATATGAAAATTTAGATTTTGTGGTGGTCATATTCGGGCCTCTAAATATTAAAACATAGACCCCCCCCCCCCCCCCTCCTCGAAAATCAATGATTTCACAGTATATTTAAATGGTTATTCTGACCCACTTTGAGAAATCCAGGTTTGACTGTATATTTTAACTCTCTTCAAGAAATCAGCTTATTGATGTACAACGTACATGCAGTGGGTCAACTGTAGATCCCGATAAAGTGAATATCAAAGTAACTATAATTTTCTATTAAAAACCACTTTATGTAAGCTTTTGGAATCAAGTTCCTTTTCATGCAGTAAACGTCTGTATACATACTGTATATATACTTATCATTTTGTATTCAGAATTATATTTAATGATTTTACCTCGTGTTGTTAAACATACAGCTACCATATAGCATTTATCATTATGGCTTTTTGTCTCATTTTCTGGCATGAGAAAAATTGGCAAGAAATCATCAGACACTCCAATTTAAACACAACTGAGCAACTTGTGTATTGGATTTGCACAATATAGGAATTCTAGTATTTAAGAATTGATTTTTCATCTTAGACTCGTTTAATAAATAATTATTAGCTTTTCATTAATATTTGCAAATTCTCATGTTCCACTGCAGAAAATTGATTTTAATAGTGCACCAATAATTAGTTCCATCTATTGAACACTGTGAAAGGGTTATCTTCTTTTCGTTTTATTGAATTTTGAAGTTTTTGAAGTTGAATTACGTTGTCATAAAATAGCTTTTCATAAATCATATTTAGTATATACTAGTACACTTATATTAAGGCATTAAACTGACCCTTCTTTAGTCACAAGAAGTATTTTCGTAAAAGATCAATGCAAAGTGAAATTCCATTCCTAAACTTTAAAGCCAATAATTATGTTAATAATCTTCATAAATGTTCTAGACTTTGCGTTTTGTTGATTTGAGTTAGGATTGTTGCTTGCCTCGACTTTACCCCGACTTCCTCTTTATTTTGACTACAGGGAAAATTCCTGAATATGGTAGCTATGCAGTCAAAATTCCGATTTCCTGCCTCTTCAAAATCTAGCTTTGTACCTTACCCTACAATAATTACAGCGTTTCCAAATTTCAAAATATAATCTGTTTCCACAATATTGATCTATAACTCCAGTAGAGTCAATCTTGAGTTGGTAGAACAATTACAGGATTGTTTAACCTTTTTCAGATATCTTTGAGTGCACATAGGCACTCGACCCTATCTCGTACTGTTGTTAAAAACATAAAAATGAATCTACTTGGTGACAACAGGTCCACTTTCTACAAGTATAGAGCAATTTAAACAATTAAAGACCAGACTGTTCGAAAGGCAATTGAAATCAAACTTAAAATCTGTAGGACCCTCTAAAAGGTATATCTAAAGATATAAACATTTCCCAACAGACCATTTACATTAAAAGGACAATTAGATATTATGTGACCATTTCGAGTCATAAAACAATTAGCTGGGGCATATTATAGGAAAGATTGTAGCTATGAAATCAATTCAAAATACCAGAGCGTTGGTAAATTGTGCTGTAACTTTGGGGTATACATGGATACTGAAATGTGATATTAAGAGTCAAGGACAGAGGTTATCAATCAGTTATTTTTTATTCTTTAAGAGCAGGGACATGTAATTCAGTGCATATTTTGTGTTTCACTTTGAAGGAATGAGTAAATGTCACATTGATCGACCTGGCTAAAAATCAATTTTAAAAACTGAAAATGTTTGAATCCCTTTTTCTGACACTTCTTCGTTGTGTTTTAGATTAAAAAATGCGTGATCTTCATTTAATTTTTTTAAATTTGATATCAAAGGTGACGGCAAAAGCAAGATGATAAGTGTATGTGTTTGACTTGAGTATTGAGTGATAACCTGTAATATTTTTAGCAAAGCATATCAATAATTACATAGGATTCAACACATGAAATAAAAAAATTCCTTGCATGTGATTAACTATAATTCTCTCTCTCTGTCTCTCTCTCTCTCTCTCTCTCTCTCTCTCTCTCTCTCTCTCTCTTTTACACAATCAATCAAACAAAATGAATCAGTGAATGAATTTTATAAATATTCGATTTTCTTATAGTAGCTAGGTAGCATTTGGAGATTATTGAGAGTTCTCCCCCTTTTCGACACGTGTTGTCAATATACCGAAGGATTAACGGGTATACTGATTACATAATCCTAAACTATTGACAGGGTTTCTCATTCATGTCAAATTGCCAGACATTAGATTATCCACCCTTAAACAATGGACTTAAGTTACCAAATATTACTTTCCCCATATATTTTCCAAACCGCGATTTACCTTTAACATGTTTAATTGCCTGTTGATTAATATTAGCATTACACTATGACTATATTATTTATTTTTTCATAAATGAAAGGAATGAAGCTTATTATAGGTCAATAAACAAAAATACCAATGCTTATTCAATAGACAATAATAAAAGTTCAAATATTTGTAAATAAAATACTTGACATGCAGATACTAGGTGCATGTTTATTTTCACTTCTCATTTTATTCAGATTTGATTTAAAAAATAAGTTATAATGATAGGTTCTAAGATTGAATGTTTCCTAAATGCCCCAAAGCTATGATTGTATCATCAACAAGGGTGCGAGACTTTAAAAATCAATATTGTATCCAGGTACCTGATTTTTTCAGGCCTCATTTCTAAAACACTTAATTACCCAATAAAGTCTCGACCCGACCACTAATTAATAAATAAAAAGAGTATTTTGTTTTTCAGTGTGTGTGCTGATGACATATTAAATGACTAATTAAGAGGTATTGATAATGTTATAGAGAGTTAACACATGATATTTAAAGTGTAGATTTCAGACAGGTGCAAACATGCCCCTCGACTATGCAGGTAAATCGTTGTATACAAAAGTTTTACACCCCAGGAGTGTAAACAATTGAGGTAACTATACAGAATTAGTACTAAGGAAGCGCACTATATTACTAACGACTTATATTTATGAAGTACCGCTTTTGTGGCAGTGATTGATTTTTCCATGTGTGCACTTTTAGTGGTTCTCTGATCGAGGATTTTGTAGTTTAGTGTACACATGTTTTATCGAAGTGTTGGATTTAGATAATACAATCAAACTGGTGGGTATAGATTTTTTTTGTATGGTCGCAAGTTTTCATTAGATATCTGACAAAATGAAATATATATCGATTATTATCAATAATTCTACTCAGGAATTTCTTTTTTTAATTATACTGGGGTATATTTTATTGGGATTTCGAAAAAATGATGTAAAGAGCATGGATACCAAACTAACTAGGTCAATAGTACGGTAAATTTTTTTTTTCTCTTTATCAATTGCTTTTGCGTCTGTGTTTGCAAAAGTATAAAATTCAGTTGGAATTTACTTTGGCAATTACTTTTACAAAACTTTGACACAAAATTGAATTATCTAAAAACTTAAATACAGAATGAAATATTTAAAGTACATGTATATGATGACGTATTTCTATTATATCAGCTGAATTGATCTCCAATATGATGTTATGAATAAAGAATTTGTTTGCCTTTCCAGTTAAATGGGATAAAAAAATCTTTTCCTATTGACCAGTAACTCTATTTGGCTCTAAATTTTGCACAGCAATAAATGGATTCTTGATCAACTTATTGTTGAAAAGTGGCCATAAACAGTAGAAATATCTTAGTCTGAGATTATTCAATTAACACTTCCCGTGACTATTTAATGGTCCCATAAGAAAAAAAAAATGGACCAGACCCACTGAGCTTAGGTTTTTTTTTATGTGTGATGTTTTTATTGTTTTGCACATTTTCACAATTTGAACGCCACAGGTGCGTGAAGATTCACTAGTTCACCGCTTGGTGGAGCTGCGGCGGCTTGAACGCCACCACATGGATGGGATTCTGGGTAATATGGTCGACACTGCATTCTACTTTTGAGTTTTTTTGTGCACTGTAGTCGGAGGTTTTGTTTAGTTTTAGCTTATTTCGCAGCTCTCAAGATTGATTTTATATCTGTCATACTTGTTGCATATCATGAAAAATTCATAAAGGGCTGTTTGGTTGCATGGTAACATGATAAAGTGAGAAGTTTTCGGTTTAGGTGTAAATTCATTTAATTTGCATGAAAGCATACTATAAAACTTCAATATTTTCAAATTCAAATGTTACTTTATATAGTTTTAATTTTTAAAGTAGTAAATTAGCAGCACGTAGTATTCTAACATAACACTCCGTGAGGTTACCATAGCAAACTTTGGAACTCTTTCGTTTGAAGACGACCTATATTTAAATTCCAAATAAATTAAACCATTTTGTTTCAATTTTGATCCAATTTATTCTCTGTGTTTGCTTGTAGATTCGGTTACAGAATTCAATTCAAATATTTAATTTGAATGTCCCTCTAAGGTAGATATCTGTTTACCCCCGGTAACTCTTTTCGTATCAAGCAAAGGCGAATCTCACGTCTAGACGAGAACTGCCCGATAACTGTCCGCATATTTATCTTAAACTTAGATTGCCCGGTGATAATGGGTTTTGACCATCCAATTAAATTATTTAGCTATATGATTTTTTTTATTAAAATCCTTGTGGGGGAGCACATTGAAATATCAAGGTCACTTTGCTTTGTTATAGGTTCCCACTAGGCCACTGTACGTTTACGAGAGAGAAAAAATCTTACCGAGTACTTCAATCGAGCTGCAAATCGATTCTAGATCAAACATTGACACCTTTGATAAGATTGTAACACTTGTATCAAGATCGCTGTTGTAAGAGGCTTGAAATGTTTTATATCTTAATTTTGAGTCAAAGCACAGGACCTTCTCACTATATTTGCTGTTGAGAAACAAATGCTTAAAAGGATTTTAAAAAAAATTTTACGTAATAAGAATAATAATTGAACCTACACCCAGGTGTATATGTTTGTGTTAAATTCAATGCAGTTCAATAAACTTTTAAAATCTGTTGATGCAGAGGTCGTATAACTCTTTGCACAGACAGATTTTCCCATCCTTTTTCTTGTTTATTTGTCTGTTTGTTATTTTAGAGAATGACTCTTGTAACAATCAACCAACAAGTCAACAAAATAAGAGAACAATTACTACGCATAATCAAATGGGCCTATTCACTGATTTTCCGGAGAACTAACAACTGTGAATAAAAAAAACCTTGTCAGTAAAAGCTTAATAGATCGTTATAACACCCCACCGCGTGTAAGGAAACTAAATTACTAGTATATTATAAACGGGTGTGCAGACTTAGTACATGCATTCCCATTTCCAGACATTATCTACAAAGTTATTTCAAGATAAACTCTGTCGCGGATTTCTGGTCGCGTCTTCATTGACAACAATTTGAATTGGTGTCAATGTCTTTTTAAAATCCATCTGTATCTTATCATTGGAGATCAACAACGCACACATAATGCTTCAACAGCATAATTAACTAGGTTTCTGAATGGGGAATTTGGAATAATTGTTCATGATTGATTATGTTATTTGTAACCTTATTGCATGTTAATATTGTAGTACGATATAGTCTCCAATGATTCTCTTTGCAGCTTACATATATTTAGATGATGTAACTTTGAAATCTTTTGTTTTTTTCCTGACCATTATCTAATTGTACAACATTGTGAATACAATGAAGAAGCTTGTAATGCATAGATTCAAAAATATACAATGATACCCCGGTATGCACATGTGACGGTAAAAAATGATTTTCTGGAAGTAATTTTGAAGCTTTATGATCCTTACAATAGAGATTTCATTATATCTGAGTTCCTTAAAAGTGAGTTCTACTGTACTGGGCATCCTTCACATTCAGAGTTAAAACTGAATGCCCTAGAGTTGTCTTGACAGTTAGCGACTCTGCTGTTCTGAAAAGGGTCGACGTTTATGCTTTTTTGCTGGTTATCTTGTTCAAATATTGAGTATTAGGCACTCAGCCTTGTTATCATTACAGTACATGTAGAGTTCCATATCAGTTGTTAAAATGCCTTTAATACCTTGTCGACATAATGACTATCCAAGATTTTCTAACCTATATATACTGTAGATGAAGTTTCAAATTCCTTAGAAAAGGATGGGTGTTGATTTTCATATACTTAATTACTTTAACATGATATAGTTACTGTACAATAAAGTTTCAAAATGTGAAAAAAAACCCTCTAAATGAATGATGAATGAGAGAGCGCCACTTTCTTATCTGTTTAAACCCTTTTATTTCATTGTTGAAATAAAGACTTGATTGCTTGCAATAAATGGCTGTAGGTCTCATGCAATAGCTTTTTACTTATTCATAAAACAATCCAAATTAAATCTGTCTGGTTTTGAGACTTTTTACCAATCACAATTAATTTGGAATTTGTAAATCGAACATACTGTTTATTGGAAGTGTTTTTACTTACATTTCTCCGTTTGTTTCATTGCCTCCTTGCAACTTTTAATTCCAGCGAGACCACGTGATTTAAAAACCACCAATAATACTTCGGAGGATAATCCCTTGTATCAGGACTTCCGGTTCAAAGGTTATCCATCTGAGAGTTTTTTCAACCCTCACAATCCACAATATAAGAGGAATTCGGCTGCTATGAATGGATCTGATGTGAATAGATATTTTGGAAAATCACAACATTTTGATTCAGGTAATTTTTATATTTGTGCTCCTGACATACAATAGCAAGAAGTTAAATAAAATGAGACTCAATGCATTATGGTTCTTATATTTATAGATACACTGTATGTTTCAATGTTTGAATTGGTTATTGATAATTGGAATTGATTTGTGCTATAATGTAGATTACTACGGTGAGTAAATAAACTGAGAATGTATTATAACCATTCTAATTATATGTAGGTATAGAATAGGTTGAATATTAACATGTTTAGCATTGTGTTGCAAGTAATATTTTTATGCTTTTCCTGAAACAATCTTACGTTGCTTAGTCAAAAGTTTTTTAGACAATAGATAGGATGTAACATATATTTTTGCAATTCTATAACTACACCTATATGTAACCATTCTAGTAGTCAATCGATACGATATTTATACATGTACCATAGAGATTTGACAAACTGTAACATTAAATAAATTGAAGATTTCTATGAAGTAATTTAATAAGCGAATTTCGATCAAACTAATTATAAAATTTATGAGGTGATTTGTTAAGTTAATCAAATTTGTATTCAAACTTGATTTCAAAATTCCAATATGGCTTTAACAGAACCGGGCTTAACACGAGCCAAAACCGATCGACCCTCGGCAAGACCACGTGCATCCCCGCCTCCTAGGGCAAATTCTCAAATGGAAAATGGTATAGCATCATTACCATAGTCACGTGAACATTTCGCTTTATAACTTCCGTAAACCCTTTTATGATTCTTCTCTCTCTTTGCTATTCCCTTTTATCTTAGACACAAAAAACACTTGAATATCATGCACTCACATTCCAGTGCATGGAAGTAAGTTTTTATTCCATTTGAAGAACGTTTAATCATTAATTCAATTCCTGGCTTTGAAGGGGGACACTCGAACATGTAAAACAGATTTACACGAGTGGCTTCTTTATAAGGTTTTTGTTCCAAATAGATTAAAGAGAAGAATCAATTTTTACACACTTACCCAAGTGAATGCCATCTTTAATATACCTAGTTACCCACAATTGCATAAAAGAACATTCTCACCTTTCGTACTTGACTATTATTTCCAGCGTTTTTTTAATATGAGGACTCGCTCCTCGACCTCTAGCAGTGTTTGAGAGTGTTATAAATTGACTTGTTGTGAATCTAAGGGAAATTCAAGTGAAAACACGATTACTCTTTCAGCTAGAAAGACAGAACCGGTTGCTCCAAAACCCCAAGCGTCTGAAATCGTTACCTACCACCCGGGTGATGGTAATAGAAGCTAGCTTCTTAGACCTGTGTGCTAGTCTGCATAATATGGAACTTATCCTGATTTTTAACCTTTTTTGCCTTCTTTTGCTGTTTGATGTAGTCACGTTCCACCCAGTTTTGACTCAAATTGTATTTAGACTGTATATTGCATGATTAATTTATTTTCTCTATTTATGGTTTATCATAAAATACACCAGTTCTATATCGTTTTTTTTTTGGATAAGTTTTATATTATTACTAGTAAAATATTTCTTTTAATTTTGTTTGGAAAAAAGCAACAATGTGTACATAAAACCACTCTTATATGTAATAAACATTTTCCTTTTTGATAAAGCGAATGAGTGTATAAAAATTCCTTGAATTTCCTTATTTTCACTTTTTTACATATGTAGCTTGATGTGCTGATACCCATATAACTTCTGTTTTGAAGCTAGCAAGATATTAATCAATTAATTGCAGAAAATCCCATGTTCCGTTTGTTCTTAAAACATATAACACACATTGACAAACAGCACTTTTCAACATGTTTCTGAAGAATTCGTTCAATTGTGATGACACGTTTTTGCTAAAATCCCAATTTCATTTCACACATGCATATTAATATTTTTCATCTGTGTCTCAGGCAAAAAAGAAATTGCTAAAAGTTATCTCTTTCTTGTAATTGAGAAAATTGACTGCAATTTGTAAGTTTTTCCTAAGCAATGATATAAAACAAAACAGTTTCTTTACTTTTATAGCCAGGCCAAAGTTAGACGAAGGTCACAGGAGTCTCCAGTACGGGTCAGGTGACCCACGAATTGAGGAATCACAACAGGTGCGACCCGGTCCAATGAGAGGATTAGGATTTGACAACAGAGAGTAAGTTTCAGAAAATCGATTTTTCCACTTCTTTTTTTTAAAAACATTTCCCAATCCTCACTTAGAAAATCCGTTAAAAGAAACATATATAATGTGCTTCATTAAAAAGGTGGTGTGCATTAAATGCATGTAAAGAATAAATTATGCTTTTATTTTGACGTTGTAACTTATCTGTAAGAAAGAGTCATTGTGACGTCACAATGGAGTATGCGTAATGTAGATTTGTGATTGTGACGTCATAGTACATTCTCTTTCCATAGAGAGAACGGACGGGATAGATTACGAAGAGAAATGATGGATACTGAGCAAGATCGGCAGAGAATCAAATATCAGGAACAGATTAGATTGAGAGATAGAGAAGATGAAAGGAAAAGGGTGAGTAGAATTTTGAACTGTCAGCGATAAGGTTATTGAAGCAGAACATATTGCATACTGCTTTGTAAATAGGATGGCAACTGTAAACATATCGATGACAACTGATGTAAAGGATTTTTTGTTGATGTTTTTAGCAATACGACGAAATCCAGGAGCAAAAACGACAGGTTATTCATATTCTAAATCTGTCTCTATATATTTGTACAGCTCTACTAGTATATACTGCTGTTTGTGAATGTCTCTACTCTTTCTTATGGCACGCCAAATTCACAAAAATGAGATAATCATAGTTTCACAATCGATAAACTAGGTTTATCGGTTGTAAACTATAGTTTACAAACCGTAAACTATAGTTAACAATGTTAATCCATATTTCACATCTGTAAACCATAGTTAACGCGATAATCTATGTTTCACAACCGTAAACTATACTTAACACCGAAAACAATCATTTGCGATTGCAAAACATAGATTATCTGATAAATACAGTTTCACGATTTGTAAACTATAGTTTACAAACCGTTAACTATAGTTAACGATCTGATAAATATAGTTTCACAATTTGTATATAACAACTTAATACGATTGTAAACTATACTGTTTTTTAACAAAATCTATTGTTAACGCTTTATTACAGACAGATAAACTTAAATTAACATTCTAAACTATAGTTAACAACCGTTAAATATAGTATATATGAAAACTATACTTGATGAATCGTTAACTATAGTTTACGGTTTTTTAAACTATAGTTTACAGTCGATAAACCTAGTTTATCAATTGTGAAACTATGATTATCTCATTTTTGTGAATTTGGCGTGCCATACTTTCTCTATTGTTTTAGTGTAGGTGGCTCAGCCGGGTTTGAATATTGTTCTTCTTAGTGTATATTTATAAATACATCTTTTACTAAGTATAGATGAAATGTGGACGTTTGACTGTCAATTACACAAACTTTTGAGTTAGATTAGTAAAATGAGTATGTGTCGTTTTTAAGTTGACATATGCATTGCATTACCAAAGGAAGATGTTTTTCTGACTCCACTTACATAACCTTTTTTCTTTTATCTAGATATTTACCTTAGTTGTTGTGACTTTAAATAGTGAATTATTTTACACGGAAGTTGTCTTTTTTTCTGATTGTTTCTCTAGTTATTAAAATACAAATGTATGTGGTCAGGGTTTTCATCAGTGTTGCATGAATTTTAATTATCATTCGGCCTTGATGCTATTTTAATACATGGAACTATTCTAAGGCGGTTAATGAAATAGTACTAGTAGTTTAACATAAAGAAAACATACACGGTCCTATTAACTTAAGCTTTCAAGAAAAGCATGGCTTAAACAACATACCAACAAGAAACCTTGTCAATTATGGATTTGCATGAGAAGCGCTATTTTAATCTACATTAGAACAATTGCTGTAATTTGACCTAATTAATGCTTGTGCATCCTAACGTGCTCTCGATAATAAATTTTAGGATATGGAAATGTTAAAAAATTACAATCCTTGGGGGAGACCAGGGGGAGGAGCTCCGATGGTAAGTCCACCGGATGTGACGTGTAGGTCTAGAATAGCTTGTGTAAAAGTATCATATGTCGTAGCAAATGTTATTTTATTTTTGAAAATTTAAAACATTTATTTCATTCAGATATATTAAGAAATTAAAGTGATTGGATAGTCTTTTTATAGTTCAAGTTTTTTCATAGTTAAATTATACACAAAAGCAAGCTTGTCTTTAATCACGAATTATAATCTGCACGCCTTATTAACACATTGTCCCGACTGATTTGACCCAAATCCATCCATCCAAAATATCCCCAAATCCTTTATTGTTACATATAAATGCAATAGTAATCATAAATATACATGCAAGATTATGCTGAGCATATTTTTTGCTTGTCCATTCAATCTGTACACACAATTACAGGCCGATGCCAGAAAGCAGAAATTTACCGAACATCAACTCGAACCTCCGGAGAAACATGTATATAAAGATAAATGGGTAAGCATGTATGTGGTACATTACTCTGATTATAATGAACAAGGGACACAGAAATGGGGAGGGGGTTTATAACCATCGATATCTAACTTGGGGTACACACGTATATATACGAGTAGAAATAATGTACTTTTTAAAAAAATTACAACAAAACACGTTGAAAGGTTTACTATAGATTGCAGTTAAGTGTGAATACGTTACGTCACGATCTAGTTTGACAGCTTCAAGACTTCGTAAGCGAATCAATTTCTGTGTCAAGTTTTTTGACCAATCACAAAAATTAAAACAAAAATACTCTGAAAAATTTATTTTATTTTACGTATTTAATATAAAATGAGTAAAACAGGGTCCTTTCGAAGTAATTAGTTCTCTTTAATTTTGGTTTCCAAGTTTGGAATCCTTTTGGCATCACATGTTTTGTTCTCTAAACAGGAGCCTGCCTACCCAGATTTAGAAAGGATTGATTTTAGGAAAGAAATAGCCCAGGTATCATTGTACAAAACGAAATTCTAAACTCGGTGACAGGATAATTTCTTTGCCGACTAACAGCATGCTTTTAGTCATAAAAAGTAGTTATTTTCATGCAATTCTAATACCCGTACAATAGATACATTTAAATATCAACGCATGGTTTCAGTCCTGCTTTAACCGTGTCTGAATTCTGCCAATCATATAAATTGATTAAATTTGTCAGTTCCTCAATAAGATTTTACGATAACCAGTATCTATTGTACAGGTTACATTGGAATTCATAAGCTGTAATCATCTAATTCTCTGTCAGTGTCGAGGTGAAGTAAAGTCCGGATCTTTTATTGTTGTTCAATTTGGGGTCCATTGTAAGTTTTTCTGTTCATTCATCTCACGTAGAGATTTTGTCCTTCACCTTAATTTGATTATTTATCGTAATAGGAAATCAAACAAGGAAAGTTGTCCTTTTAGTCTGAAAACATTTGTTTGCCCCCCCCTTTTTTTTTTAAAGAAAAAGAATATGGATTATAAAAACCTAAAAACAAGTTCGGATATTTACATATTTCTAAAATAATACTCTATCTTTCATGAATAACAAGTCAAAGTTCTTGGATTTTAAAAAGATTTATGCGACCTTTTGAAAGTTCTATTAATAGTTATGCAATGAACAAAGCCTTATAAGTAATGCTTTTATACTAACCTGTGTCATGGTATGCAATTGTGAAATAGCTGGGATTGTAAGACGATTAAAGGGTACTTATATTGGGGCAGTTACTAAAATATAAAGTTTGTTTACATATTGTTTTGCAGCCCACAGAAAACGAAAAAATGCTTGACATAAGACCATACGTACAAGTAATTTCAAAGTGTTTGAATTACATACATTTGCTGTGATTTTGTTTGTGAATAACAGTTAGTAAAAACAAAGAGGAGATAGATAACCGTTAATATATAACTCAAATTTGAAAGTAAAAATGGAAATCGCCATGGTAGTGTACTTTGTTTATTTTTAACCTTTATAAAAGAAAACTAACACAATCCACCTTTTACTAACACTCACTTGGATATTTTCATTTATTTTAATTACACAGTAGTAACTTTCTACACCTAAATACTGATCATAATTTGGTAATCCTCATATCTTTTTTCAAAAAATGTAAAAGATAAAACTTAAAAAAAAACTGCATAAAGAATCGTTGTTTCAAATGAAAAATTAAAGTCACTTATATTGATTTTTAATGTTTTATTCATTAATTGACAAAGATCATGTTGTCATCAGCGAATAGAACGACTCCGCTCTGATTGTCTCGTCTTTTATCTTCTATTCTCTCTTCTCCTTTATCTCTGATTTTCAGCTTAATATCTGTCTGTTTACAAGACCATCTGGCACTATGTATGTTCTTTCTTTTCAGCAGTCTGTTGACACAGTCTTTCTACATTCTTCAACTAACTCATCTCATTCTTCTTTATCTTTATTAAATTGATATCTTTCTTTTTCACTTCCTGTTTTTTTCTTTTTTTTCAGTATTTCATTTAACTACAGCTATCTCTCTATCATTTCTTTAATCTGTATCTCTTATTTCTCCTTTTCTCTCTTCCTTCCTTCCTTCTAAATAGGATGATCAGAGCGATGATGCCAACAATCATAACAAATTTATGGAAAACTGGCAACTATTCGCTTATGACGAAAATCCATTGCATCTCCGAGTTCATCCCGGCAAACCCACAGTGTTGCATGAATTGGTTCATAAATTTCAGGACAGACCTGGTTATGATCCATCAGGACCAAGAGATCGCACAAGGCTTGAACAGATGAAACGAGACCCAGGTAAGGGCAATTTTACTACTGTTATGCGACCCCATTCTTTCTCTGAAAGTTAATATTAATCTTATATCTTCTGCCTTTCGTATTATAAAATGAAGTGTAAGTTAAAATCATAGTTTGTTTCAAATCCAGCGGCCAATACGTCTCCAAAGAATAATTCTCCCCCCGCCGCACCGAGAAACGGTCAAAACGAACAAGGAGGGATGGCTCCAGCTCCCCCTACAGGCGTAAGCTTGATAATAACGACAATCATATGATAAAATATTTTGCTGTAAATTATGGGGAAAATCACTTCTTATCGAACGCAAAATATATAGTCTTTGAGTAAAATTTCATCAGCGATAAACGAAAAATAATTGCTCATTCTGTCATGCTTCTTTCTTTCGCTTTCCTTCTCTTGTCTATCTTTCTTCTTTCTCTCTACCTTACCCAGATTACTGGATCTATAGTTGATCGTCTTGGAACCCCTGGGGGAGGTGCTCCTCTCAGAACAGATTCCGGAAATCACGTGAAAACTCATATGAACTCTGCCAAAATACTCCGCTTTCAGGATCGCAGCAGACCGGAAGTTGAAAATGTCTTGCGATATGAAAAGGATCCGCAGGCGAAACAGGAATACGCTATGGATCTAAGTAATTTTTTCTCTGTGTCGTTTGACAGCGTTTTCGCCAATTGTTCACTGCATGAGCGTCAAAAAACCAACAAAAAGCTTCTTTTTTTTACAAGAATTTTTGCATGCATTTTTAATCAATGATCATTTTCAATTGCAACCTAGATAATTTTGAATTTCATTACAACAATAAGGTTTTAGAAAAATGAAATGCAGTTGCATTGTACAATAATATAATATTTTTGCGCACATGCTTAAGCATGAAGCATGATGCATTTTGAATAACCACTTAATCTATGTAAAAGATCTGCTGATACTCACATAGAGTCTGAAACATTGTGAAGTCAAGTTTACGATCCAAAACACGGAAATGAGCTTTTTTAATCATTTTTCTAGATCTAAGAATTAATAACTTTTACTGAAAATTTTTTTTTTAATGTTTATGTTTTAATAACATATGAAAGACTCCCTATGGGTTCATCCAGAAGTAATGTTACAACTTGTATAAAAATATTTAATAATAGTCAATTTTTATCAACAATTTACATCATTATACCTCATGCTATTTGCCTTTTGCTTTAAAAAATCATGAAGATATATGCAATACTTTATAAAATATCTAATAAACACAACTTTTGGTTTTATCTATCGCCGCACGACAAGAATCTAGCGACGTAGCTATTTTCTTCGACACTCATTTCAAATCTGATTATACACCAGATTTATGCAAAAAAGGAGAGCGTAAAAAAAATTACATTTGGAACAGTTCAAATACGTTTAATCCTACAACTTAAAACAACATAAAACATTTAAGAAGATTGTTAGCAAAATAGGAGAAAAGGTTACTGGGGGTATTTAACAAAGCATAGGCGTCGGAACCGGGGGGGGGGGGGGGGGCTAGGGGGGCTTAGCCCCCCCCCCCCCCACTTATTTTGCAAAAAATATACTTAATATAGACATTGAACGTATCTTCGTAGGTTTAGCCCCCCCACTTTCCACAGATACGTCTAGGTATAGGTTAAAAATTGAGAAAGTGGTGATGTCTGGAGAAAAAAAATTTTGGTACTGAAGTTCGAACCTACCCTACCCCTACACCCCTCCCCCTCCCCCCACGAAATAGGATTTTTGTGTTTGGGAATTGGAATTACCCTTTTTTTTTTTTTTTTTTTTTTTTTTTTTTTTTTTTTTTGCTTGTCAGATTTTTTTTGAATGTATAAAATTTTTTAGACACTTAGCCCCCCCCCCCCACTTTCAATTTGCTTCCGACGCCAATGCAAAGCAGGTGCAGATAAACTGAAAATGAATGCTGAAATAAAACGTCATAATAACGTCAGTTAGATTCTTGCCGAGCGGCAATCGTAAAAAAAACCTAACCCTATTTTTTCCCTCATATTTTAGAAAAGTATTTTATGTCCTGAGTAATTCAATAAAATTTTAAGGTAGAGATTAAAATGGAAAGGGGACACTAGTTTGTCAAATACTGTTGATAACATCTACTTATTAAGATTTTTATTGAAGTTGTGACATTACATTTGGATCAACCCTTCTAGAATATAAAAAAAGTACATTACATACACAAAATGAATTCATCACATCACAAAACTTTTCAATGCCTACCGGTATAGGTCACTGTATGTAATGTACAACAAAAGCAAGAAAAGGTCATAAAAAAAGTAAAAATACATTGCTTTCAGTGGATATCATAGAATTAAAAAAAAGCCTGTCAGGTTTAGAAAACGAAATAATCAAGAGGCAATCGGCAAAAAGGAATAACTAAAAGTAAATATAGTAAAATATTGATTTGTTAAAAAAAAACCCGCTTTTTTGCAGATATCCAACAAAAGCAAGAGATGCTCCATAACCAAGAGGAGAAATTACATAATCTCAAACAGGAACTAGATCACGTGAGTATATCACTATGGCAACTATTTTCAATCCGGGCAATTCTTTGTTTAAAGTTACTTCTTTACTTTGATGATAAAGTACGAGAAAAAGTCAAAAAGACGTAACTTATTCTGTTCAGGAGAAAATAAATTGGAAATTGCTTTGAGGGGTTTAGCCATGTGCCTGATGTGAGAAAATGTACAGAATTTTCAGCATTTTTGACTCTTGTGTAGTTAATATGGGTGCCAAAGAAAGGGGATTTAAGATATAGATGTACAGCCCAATTTCATCCAGAAATTTTACAATTAAGTATGAAAGAATTTTAGCTTTTGTTTTTTTTAAATCTTGAGTCCTACTAATTGCACAGTGGATATTGTTGCAAAGATCATATACATGTACTAGTATTTGAATGAAATAATTTGTATTTTTTCTATTACAAAAGGTAGAAACACTTGCCTCATTAATATGTTACTATTTAAAAAAAAAAAATTGACGTGAATATAGTATGGTTTTCTTTTTTGATAAAAACATTTTGAAATAGAAAAAAGTAGGACCAAGGAAAATTGGTACAACAGTACAAAAAAGAAAAAAAAAACTACAGAAAAACACAAAAACAGCAGAAAGCTTGTTTTAAATATTAATAAATGAACCAAAGTAATTATGTGTTACAGATCATATAGCTTGACGGACAGAATGATTTTTTAAACACATACATGTACTTTGATTTTTATTTTTAAGTTAAAAGCTGCAGCTGTCACACCGAGAAGACCAGGTAAATTATGCTGCATGGCTGCACACAGTTTGACAAGCTTCCAGGCTTTACTAATTTCCATTCTTTCTCATTCCATTTTAGCATCCTGTCTTTTCTTTCATTAATTAATTTCTACCGCTTGTATTCTCAGGCTCAGCACGCTTCTTGTAGCGGAACACGCCAACTGTTTTATTTCATACGCTTTGATTTCTTGTGTGTGGATAGGTCTAGTGGACATACATTTGCATTCAAGAAGATTCCTTTCTTTCTTATTGTCTTTCCTTTCTCATATCTTTTATGTCATGACTTTCTCTGATACATTTATTTCTTTTTTCTTCCATTTTTCTGTGTACACTGTATACATGTTCTTTCAGTGTGCTACTTTTCCATTCGGGAAACCAGGAGGTGGTGCTCCTAATTTGTCAAAATCTGGCAAGTACACTCTTCTGTCTCTGTTTTAATTTCATTATCCTTTTCTTTTTAAATGTTGATACATCTTGATGTATTTTTCTCTTGATTAAAAGTAAACTTGGGTAATGCCACCTGGTTACATATTTTGAAGACTCGGATATTATTGTATATTTTTTTTACTTCTTCAGCTGGTTTTATTTCTTTTGTCTTTTCTGTGCTTAATCTTATAGTTTCCTAAGAGTCTTTATTCTGTTTTTCTATTCTGCACATGCTTACAATACCCCTTCTTGTTTATGTTACAATTACAACAAAAATCCATCATCTTACTTTTCTGTAACCTTACTCTACTTATCAATCGTCTTTAATATTCCAACTGATCATTCCTAGCATTTTAAACAAACATCAGCTGAGCTTTTTTTCTTGCTTCTTAATTCACTTTCTTGCACTAATTCTACTGTCTCTCTTCCTTCTTTTCATTCCCAAAATGCAGGAAATCACTTGCGATTAAAAAGGAAAATTTACAATACTCTGGACACAATTGAGCTTATGAATGTTCAGGCTAGAGGTATATTATACACAACCATAAAATTGTAACGAAGGATGAATAATTATAAAATCTTTTTTTGCATGTCTCAATTTATGTAAAAAGATTTCATACAATTTTCTTGAGTAAAATGTTCAAATTTATTTTTTCATTGTATAATCACTAAAAATTTCTAACTGGTCTGTTTGTCTGTTTGTAGATTCTTTCCAAGAGAGAAGACAGGTAATTAATGATAGATTAGATAATACATGTATACATATATATCTTACTTTCTGTGGGTGGATAATTGGTGAAAAGTCTCTTTCTTTCATTCTTCTGATTTTTTCTTTTAATTTTACCATTCTTTCTTCAGTTTCTTCTTTCTATTTAATTCTTTGACTTTCTTTCTTTTTCTGTCTTTTCTTGCCTAACCCTCTCTGATTTAACAGTTTGATGAATTTGATCCTTGGGGAAAAGGAACTGGGAACCCCCTTAGAAATTCTGATGGATATCTGATGAACATCAGAAAATCCTTCAGGAGGAAAAAGGTAGCGTGTGAACTGAGACTTATTTCGTATATACTGAAAATCAATTTCTGTATTATTAAAACAAAATTATAACCTTTTGAGAAGTGTTCTTTTATTTCATAATCCTTGAGTTAAAATCTAACCATGTATTATGTTTGGATTGGGAAAAAGTATATAGATGTTAACAAATTTTTTTTTTTATTCTAATTACAAAATACACAATTACATGACTTGAATACAATCTATGTAATTAAGAAGATGCCTTTCTCTGTACTCTTCTTTTAAACATTTGCCTATACTCAGTTATTCCTTCAAAATGTATCCAATTCTATTCTTGATCTGTTTTGAGATAAACATAATTTTTGCTCATTTTGAGGTGATAGTGTTTGCTTTTCTGTTCTTATATTAAACATTTTTTTTAATTGATAAAATGATTAGAAAAAAAAATATAAAAAGAAAAATAAATATATAAGTTCCTAAACTCCGTATTATTCATTAGAAATTATGTGTAATTTTTGTTTATTTTTTTTTTAGAATGGATACAGTGACTCTTATGAAAGAGGAGGTAATCCCCGCACAGGTTAATATTGTTTTGCTATTAACATAACCTTCACGGCAACCTTAAAACCATTCCTTTAAACTCACAAAATTCCAATCATTTTTAAACATAAAGTACAGTTTTTAAAATGATAGGGAAAATGTTTATGAAAATACAACATTTAATACTTGACAACGTCAAAAAATCGAAATTAATCAAAAGTGTTTAAAACAAGTTAAGAATTATGATATTGTTTTTATTTCAAGCAGATAGCTATAGACGTAGTAAGAAAAATTATTGTTGTTGTATATTGTTTCTTACAACACCCATTCTCAATATAAGGGCACAAATGCCTCTCTGATTTTTTTAAAAATGAAGTTCAAGATAACAATTTTTCTATCAATTACCTTTGAAAGAAAGTATCTGAAGATTTTGTTTCCAGATTTTTTTCATCAAATTATTACATGAAATTGATAAAGTAGAGGGTAATTTTTTCAGAAATGTAGCTTGAAATGTACGTTACTCTTTCTTCAATGTCTAAAAAATATGTCAAAAAAAATGTAGTCATTAAAATCACAATTGGAATATCTCATCTTAACACCGGCACATCCTACCAACTCTGTCAGCAACATATTTTCTCGGCATACGAACGTGCGTTTGATTTTTCCTTTCAAAAAACAAAGGTTACTTTTTGATCCAGATGTGTAAAAACATTATTTAAATATATGCTTTAAATTCTTCTCTCTGTTTTGTTAAGAGCGATCATGGAATCTTGTCATTTTTAATAGATACTGGAACCTAACATGTACATGTAGTAAAATTCTATTTTGTAGTTACTGTCTTTTTTAACATATATCCATGCCGATTTAGAAAACTATGTAAATGTAACGTACATTTCAAGATATATTTCTGTTTAATAAAAAGCTTAAAATTCATCTAAAATTCATCTAAAAATTCATCGTTTTGTTTCAGTTTATTCCAAAAAAGATTCTCTATGTAATCACGTTGTGTTATATGTCACAATCACCACTATAAAGACACGATTGCCTCAGAATATTACATTTTGTAATAATATGTAAATTAGTAATAAGAAAATATTGAAAAAAAAGCAATTATTGACATAAAAATCATATCAATGAAGCGTTTTAAGGCAGTAATATAAGAAATCATAATGTAACAAACGAGGTTATTGTCATCAACTACATGAATGTCAAAAATTTCACATATTATTGGGGAAATCAGTTCATAACCATTCTTTTGTGCTGTTTCGCTGAAATTGACACCGGTCGTAGCCTAGTTAAACTGTGTACAAGGTTACAGACAAAAAATATAAGAGTCAGATGTATTTTGCTATGATCTAACAAATGTTTGTTTGGCCATTGAAACTTAACATAAATCTATTCGAATATGTCCAGACAGTCTTGTGAACAATTTCATTTAGTATGTTGCAACATCGTTTTTCAAAACACAAACATACGTGCTTTTCAGCAGATCTGGAAAAAGATAACCCAAAATGCAATGATTCAAACAAAACTGAGTATTGTATGCCTTTCAGTATTTGAAATGTACGTGACAGTCTTGTGTGCTAGGTTTATTTGTTTTGTTTCTTTTTCTTTTCTTTTTTGTTTTGTTTTGTTTTGTTTTGTTTTACCAATTATAAGCCTATGCATACCTTGTTTTAAATTATCAACAACAATTCAATTAATATTAACGAAAACGCACATGAAAAGTAAACAAACTGCAAAAAGGTTGCCAAAGATGAATTTAAGACACTTAGAAATAAATTTTCTAGCATGTGGTAACAGTTTAAAACATTTACAAGGATTGGGGTGCATTTAGATGTGGCCAGTTGTCAAATGGATTGTGTAAACGCAATTCATTGACTAAATTAAAAAAAATGTCAGTTAGAAATACATAAAATGTACGTTACCATTAACGTACATTTCAAATATAAAAATCAATTTTCCACAAGCATACGTTACGCGCAATATATTGATACTATTTGAACCTGCATATCATAAGAAATGCATCATACAGGTTTCGTATTCAGAAATATATACCAGGTATCAAAATTATATTACATAATAATTGATAATATATTTTTTTCAGCAGAGACGTTTCTTTTCATTAATTTTGGGATTAAGCCGACCTCTATCCTTTGTGTACACATTCGAGTGTGTGAAAGTATGTGAATACATGAAAATTCGTGCGAGATTCACTTAATTCGAATTTCATGGTAACGTACATTTCAGTCACGTACATTTCAAATGATCACTTTTCATGTAAAAAATAATTTTTAATTGTGTTAAACAAAACGTCTTTGCCAGTTTACAGGATACAAGGGGTTGCTTATTCAGAGTCGTCTCATATTTTCTACTTAATATGTATTCTTAATGGAAGAATATAGGTAACGTACATTTCTTTTTATCTCTAATTGAAAATGTCTTTCATTCCGTAAACATATTTATAAAAGTTGCTCAAGTTGTTCAATTTCATGTTACATTATCTAAGTAGGAGTAATTAATCCTTTGAAATTTCAAATTAAGCCCATCAATAAATAAAGGAGAACAAAACTATCAGGTGTATAATCTTTGTGTTTGCTTGTAATGTGGTTGAAATAGAATTAAGCGACAGGGACATTGCACAATAAAAATTATTTATTATCACAAAGAAAATGTATTTATTGTTATGAAAAGAAATATATATGATACAAGGTTTAACTTATCAGAAAATTTTTACTTGAGAATCAAAACTATATATTACACAGAGGGGATTCAGAATAACATTTGCCTCGGCGACAGTAACGTACATTTCAAATAGGCTACTATATTTGAATTTGGAACTCCTTAAATACCCTTTCAGATCGATAATTATATGAATTCTTATTCATTGTTATATGACTATTTATAATGTTGATTTAAAAATTACATCAGTGGTATTTCTTTTAAATGAAAATGAGGCGACATCATTTGAGCCCTTATATTGAGAATGGGTGACAAGTGGTGTTTTTTTTTGTTTGACATTCATAATTGTTGTAAAATTAGCCTAAAAAGACAATGTAATTCAGCTATGTAATTAAGGGCAATAAATTAATTTTTGTAATATTTGGTAAGAAAGTTTAATATCGGAACAGCTATTCCAGACCTTTATATATGATTCATCTGATGTGATGTTATGTCAAAATATTTAAAATAAAATCCTAATAAAATTTGTTTACCTTGACAGTCTATATGTACCCTTTTGAAACGAAATTAAAAATTCAAGGTTTTTTATGACAATCTTATATCGATGAAATTGCATGCATGTGACTTTCTGTAGTATATTTTTTAAATTAAAAAATATAATAGAAATTTTAAAAATAGCGATTTAATAAAGTGGTCATAAGATTTTACACAATATCTCTATTTTTCTTAATATCGAAACCGTTTTTTTTAATTTATGATGCATTAAAATGCTATATTTGGAACACAGCTTGTTATCAATTCACAGATAAATATATAATTTTTAAAAATCACAACAATTTTAATCTAAATATAATGCTTTTATTGTTATTTCTATACCTCGTTACATATTTTAGTTTTTTTAAACTTTGCATGTTTTACTTTATCGTATGCTTACCATATAAATTTCGGAGTCAAATTGCTTTTTTTGATAACACAACTTTGAATGATGCAATTTTGGCTTAACCAAATTTTAATGCTGTGTTACCTACTTGCTTTTTAAAACCAGATTTTTAATCTGCAACAAAATTATTGAATCTTATTGTAATGCAAATTTCTTATTTTTGATTATTTACTATATATAAAACCAGTTTTGGAAAAGATAAATGTAATATATGAATGATGAAAATTACGAAAAATTGTTTCAAAATGGCGGACAGCAAATACTTTTTTTCTATTTTCTCTTGGGATTATAAGTAACCCCGAGTCTTTCTCCACTCACAGCCCCCGAAACAAACCGTAGCGCCACCAACCCTTTTGAAGAGTACGACAATCTGGGCAGAATTGGAAAACCCAAAAAGCCAAACATGGAGCTGCATCCCATCTATCATCCTTTCGGAAGATCCGGGGGAGGGGCACCAGTTAAGGATTACAGCGGGAAAATCAGCACAGTATTACACGGCCACTCAGATGTATGTATAGCAAAACAATTTTGTTCTATTTTTGCACTTTCACTGACTCTCAAACGGTACACTTTTATTGGAAGTTTTATGGGATATTTAAATTGAATTTGAGGGAATGGTTGGTAGTTTTACCAAAATATGTTTGTAATGATGGGGAAAATTTTACTTAAGTGTTATTTTGCTTCTACTAAATTGCTTGCACCTATGAAATTATGTGTTTTAAGAAAAAAAGATTAAAGCCAACCTTAAATCACATGCTTTTTGCAGCGGCATTATCTGCATAACAACGTAAGTATACTACAGGACATACAGTGCACCAGGGTGTCATTCTTAAGGTCTTCGTCAATTAGTGACACCATATCTTGAAACTTTTTAAAAACTGCCAGAAATGTTTTCTATTGCTGTTTTGATATTAATTATATGCTATCATCTTGACAAACTAATGATGTTTCAAAGTTGAAAAGAATAATAACGACATCATTTCACTTTCTATTTAACATATCATGTGTATATGCTTTGAACTTCGTCTTTGCACTGTGAACTCTGTAAAATTCTTGAAAATGAATGACAATGACGTTGTGTCCTATTTTGCTTTCTCGTGTTCACATGATTATTTTGTTACCTATCTCCTGATCCATTCTTTTCACTTCCTCTCAGTCGTGTTTTGTGCAGTTGATGTTTTTGTTGTTGTCTGTTTCTTAGACTACTACCTGAGACGATTAAGATGTCCTATTGCTATCTGTTTCCGCATCATGAATTTATTTCAGTCCTAAATAAAAATGGAACAAATATAATTATAGTATTTGTTGTAAAACATCAAAATTTACTGGTTTGATCCAAGAAAAAAATTCTTTATATACCACAGTGTCAAAGAGCAATCGTAGTTAGATTATTATGATAAAATCTACAAGATGGCGAAGGATATGTAGCCTTACTAATAGTTTAGGCTATTTTAGCTGTATTCTGGTATTTTTTTCTATGTGTGTATCTCTTTAAATTGTATTAAAATAATTTATGGATCCGGGTTGTAAGGTCCGAAAGTGGAGTAATTTCAGTAATATCTAAAGAACAGAGCTCTGTTGAAAGTTATACATAGACTAGAGTAGTAGAAATGTATGTTTGATTAAAATGGCGATGAGAGTATATGTTCTTCACCAAAAATGCAAATGAGCAAAATTGATCATGTATGAAAATGATATTCGCCATAATAGTAGCTGTCATAACTGTTGAGATACTCATATGACCACCAAGAATTGGTAGCTTCTTTCTGTACCTGTCAAAGAGTGCTGTGTTATTTTCGTTTGACCTTCCGATCTAAGAAAATGTAACATCCTGCAGTTTCTACATTTTCTTACAGTGGGCACTGCCTCGCCCTGGCTCAAATTAAGTATTAAGATACCTTATACCGAAAAATACTTCAACACGCTTAATTTAGGTATCACGCGTTTAAATTGCTCAAGTCTGAAGATGCTGCAAATTCCTTCGGCAATTATTTCTTACTAATTGATGCAGCGGCTAGAAAGTTGTTCAGTATCTTGTTTGATGTATACATGTATATTTTTCATTATTGCATGGTCTGCGTTGCTAATTACACTGTTAGGCGATTTACAAATTTTATATAAACCATTACTGTATATCTAGAAGCTCATGCATGTAACATATCGTACATATATATTTTGCATGGGTAGTTGGATAATGCATAATTAAATACTAGTTGCATTAGCAGGGGATTTTTTTTTTGTTTTAAGAAAAAATTAGCATTTAAATAATAATATCATTTATAATTTAATGCATGTACATGTATTCAATCTATTGATATTAGAGAATTTTTTATGGTTTATTTCATGAATTTACAGAGTATGATGTCTTGAAAAAATTCTTGAGAGATGAAAAAAAAAAATTATGGACATACAAAAAATAATTGCTTTTGTTTCATTTTTAGCTGTCTGATTACGAGAGAAGACAGAACGCAATCAAAGCCAAAATCTACTATGCAGAATTAGGTAAAGAAAATATATTTACATTTAGTAATTATATCCAAGTACTACTAGTATCTGATATTTTATGCATTGTTGCTGTTTTTTTTTTTTTTTTTTTTTTAAACATTTTCCTATTGTAACTGTAATATTTAGTTCCACTTTAAAAGTCTCTCTGTTTAAGAGTGCTGGCCAATGTTGCATCTTGCATCTTCGATGGTTCTGCTACAGCTATATGCACTTCCAAATCTGGTTATATAAATATTACAAAAAAATATGATACTGAAAGATTGTCATGAAGGATTTCATCTTAAGAAAAGTATTTTTTCAGTCATTTTGTTATCATTTTTCTCTCTCTGAATTTCAGGTCAACAAATGGAGAACCAGCAATACAAGAAGAAAATGGAAATGGAGGAAAAGAGAAAGCCGGTAAGGTCTTAGGCTTGAGGATGATGATGATGATGTAGACTATAAAATAGGTCAAAAGGCTTCTTGTCTAGTTGTTGAATAAAATTTCTATTTTATAAAGACGAGAGATAATAGAGTAACTAAAATTATATAATGATACTTATGTTATTGACTTAAATGTGTCATATGTTTCAAATTTTTAAATGCATTAATTTATATCCTAGTTGACTCTTTGCAATTAGTGTTGTTGCTTTAAGATTATTAATTAATGTAATCTCTTAGAAAAGCAGGACAGATCCAGTCAGAAGGAAACGTTTTTATCATACCCAAGGAAATGGTAAAGCAAGAAATGACAACTATTAATTTTTTCAATGTGTACATCTCTTACAGATCGGAGAATTGGCTGTTTTAATTGATGATAAAGTTGTAGGCAAACCCAGACGTAACAAGGTTACAGGATTGTTGGAGAACCATCACCTTGGTAACTCTGACGTGTCATTACAGGTAATTACAAACAAAATCGAAAGTAACGACAAAATATGATATTCATTACAGCATGGTGAATTGGCAGTTATTATTGATGATAAATTAACTGGTAAACCCAGAAGGGACCCCATAACGGGGGCCTTACAAAATCATCACCTGGGCAATTCTGACGTGTCCCTACAGGTATACTATAGAGTGTGGCTTTCCTTATAGGTAACACTTACCTTGCACTCTGTAGCAGAAACTCCTGTCTCTGAAACAACTTATAGTTTTCTATGACTGGGTATTAATATACGTTTGTAATAAATGAAGGAGGGGGGTTTGGGCAAGGCGATTTTTTTTAAAAAAAGCTTTCTCAAAATAATATAGTGCAATTTAATTTATGACTAACAGTTTTGGGAACCCTAAATATACTTATTCAACATTCTATAGCAGGAACTCGATTTTCAAAAAATAGAAAGCTTTTATATAGTTTGCTTTGGTGGTACAATACTACCATTTGTGGAATATGTTAAGAGTAAGGGAATATAACATTTTTAAAAAATATTTAATCCTTATGTAAATGCTTTAATTCGTCGTTTTTTCACAACTTTCACACTCTTGTGGCATATCTGTTGATCTGCACTTTCTCATGTGAGGACATTTTCCATCACTTCTGTCCATTCAGAAATCTTCATATATGCCAAAATGCTTGTATAATTTTTAGTTAGTATTTTGGTCTCTCTTCTCTACTGGTGTAACTCTGACTTACCAGAATCACTTTTCTCTTCATTCACTACAAAGAAATTTAAAATAGATGTGAGTCCACTTATGCTTTAAAATGTTGCTTTCAACCCCTTTTGGGCAGTATTTACTAGTCATTGAATAATTACTATAAATAGTCATACTAATATGGGCTATTTAATTAGCAAAAACTTTTGAAATTAGATTACAGAACACTTACTTCCTTTTTTGCTGAAACACATTTTTGTCATTTTCTTCACCTGTGTTACCAAGTATATACTTTTTCTTTGAGGAAAATATTAATTTTATACTTATTTTATGTTAAATGTTTGAAATATGCAAAACTTGAAATATAAAAACATTAATCTTAACAATAACAAGAATAAAAAAATTGTGAATTTGACACAATGATCATTTTTGTCCTTTTCTTAACAACAGTCAATGACTTGTAACAATGTAAAAACTTAATCATTACTTGATAGAAAACTGCAGTGAATATACGATGAAATTAATTTTGTCATAAATTGCTGGTTCAATACAAATAAGCTAAGTAAGACAATATTTTTAACAATTGAATTTACTATATGGAACGTGAATTCCCAGCGTGTAAAGAAAGGTTTCAAAATATACAACATCAAAATTAGAAAGTTTCACTGTAAAAAAAACTAATATCTGTTTGTTCTTAGAAAATAATTTTTATATTGTCAATCGAAACAGAAAATGGGAAGCCAGCCAAGAAATATCTCAGAACAGAGGCAGTACCATAACTTCTTGGATAATATGACTGAGGAGAGATACCGCAGGAATGCTCTTGGAAAGATGAAAGATTACCAGGAAGGCCAAAGGGTAAGGAGCTACGGGTGTTTTAAGCCCAAAGAAAGTTCAAACATTTAACTTGTAGTTGAAAAAAAATTTATATAACATTATAGTAAATTGTTTAAATGAAAACATACGATATCAAAATTGATTCATATTTAATATCCCATTATAAATAAGTAAAAGACAATGATGAATGTTTGTAAAGGAAAAAAGTACTTTTATATAATATCCTAACATATGATATCTGTATTATGATGTAACTGAATGAAAAGTGATTTAATAAATAAAACCTTTTTCAGCATTACGACACCATGGATGGCCTCTGGGGTAGACCAGGAGGTGGGGCACCAAAGGGGTACACCATGAGGAAGATGAATCTGGATGAGATCATCCACCATCCCACAAAAGATGTAAGAACTGTACTGAAGCCCACGCCCTTGCCAGAGCCTTCGTCTTGAACTTTCTCTCTCTTTCTGTCTTTCTTTGAACTCTACATAAACAATATACAAATCACTTACAGCAAAACAAATATAAAACATTATCTGTTTGTGTAATTGTACTCTGCACTTGTTGTGTCTGAATGTATTTTGTGTGTAATTGTTTGACTATTGCTTTAATGTTTTGCTTTCAGAAACAAATAAAAAAAACAATGCATCATGATTTTCTGTATTCAGTGTTTTATGTTTAAAGATAATTTAATAGAGATTTTTTTCCAATATGGAGAGAAATGTTGGTTATTTTTAAAGTTTTTAAGTTGCTATCTATAGTAGTGATGAAATCTTCAAGAATTATTTTTACAAAGTACTCGACAGTTTGCTTAAAATTATAAGTAGAGAAACTGAGATGTACGTTTGTGCTGGTGTCGGTATATAATGGGAAAATTAAACAGATTTTTCTTTGAAAATTAATTTGAACACGGTGTATTTTTTAATTTTATACAATTATAGATAAACCAAGATGTTTCCCAATATATACCTTTTTTAATTGTGAGCTTACACGGGGTAATGTATTTAAATGGTTGCACTTCTGTGATTTTAACAGAAAGCCACCGAAGAATATGTCAGGAAGCACGATTGGTCAGAGGTTGAACCAGAAAAGGTGCGCATTTCAATTACTAAACAATATGTTACGTGCAATGCATGAAGCTAGCCATTAATTAAATAAACTGACATATTTTTGAACCTCAATTCATGTAGATATTTTCTTATTTCTACAGAGAATTTTATTCATAAGACTTCGGATTTCTTATTTTAAAACGCTTACTTGGTTTTGAAAATATTGAACTTTAAAATTCTTGAAACGAAACGTTTATAGACAAGAGAATGGATGAATTGTGACTTATGCATATTGAATGTTTGTTTCTAGTTCTTTTCAAAAGATGATGATGAATATATATCGAGCAGATCTCCCCGACAGGTTAGCTGAGTTCTAGAACCCCTCTCTATTTATAGCTATCTCTGTATTTATGTTGAGCTTTCTGTAACAGTATCTATTATTTATATACTTGTAGTTTTTTCCTACCTAGACTCGTTTGCTTCATTCCTGACAATAAAATTAATTTTTTCCCTATAAATAAGCATCTGTTTATGTCTATCACAACATTATAGACTAGTTCACTGTTTCCAATCCTTTGATTTTCCATCTTTTGCTTGCAAGTTATTCAGCTTGAACGTGCTTCACATTAACCAAACAAATATTTTTTTCTGACCAACGTGTACATCATTATTAATAGAACAACTGCACATACAAACAACAAATCTTAATTCATTCTTTCTTACACCATACCAAAACCACAAGCACTAGTCTTTTTTTAATTAATTTTATCACATTTGATATTTTCTATATAACTCTTTATACCACATCTTAAACATATGCATTAAAGAATCTATAATAATTATTAACTTTAACATAACACTCATTGTTTTATCAAATAGTCTTGATCTTTTCGATGTGTTCCTTTTAATTTTAGAAAGCTATAAATTATAATGGTTTTTAATGCTTAATTATAATATTTAATATAGATAGAAAAATATTCGTAATTTTTATCAGTTAACATTTTCTCTTGAACTAATTAAGTAGAGAAAATTCAAATAAAAGATTAATTAAAAATTAAGATACATATGTTCCTCCAAATGAGCAAAGTAGGGTCAATCCTTAGCCATTTCTTGAAGATGTAGGGTACATTTTTACAGAACCCAATGCTCTCGGCCAGAGATATTCAGGAGGGACGTTTATCCCCGGGTGCCAGGCCTAAGAAATTTATAAAGAGTACCGTCACGAGTAGTCACGCCAATATGTTCGATTATCGAGAAGACTATCCTCAGGTGAGTCGCCATGACGGTACCAGCCACAGTTTCGTATTTGTCACGTGACCATCATATTTTTACAAATACTGACAAAAGCAGTTTACTTCTGGTGGAGGTCAAGGGAATTTGTTTATGGTTAAAAAATTAAACCATTTTTATTAAACAAATATTTTGTATCCAAATTATCATATTTTGAGTTAGAAACTAACAAAATAATTAATGCTTTATATACAACATATTCAAATGACATAAAATTTATCATAACCTACATGTATAGCGTATGCATAGATTAATTTTTTCCCCTCATTCATTAATAAATATAATTGGGACCTGATTACAAATGTAGTTTAGCCAACGATCTCTAATTATAACCTCTGCAGTAAAATTATAGTGCATGTTTCATGACGGGAAAGCATGTGATGCTTAATTAACTTGTAATATTTCTATGCACCTTTAATCAGATGCCCCATACAGCGCATTAGACTCCCATCCTACATGTAGGTATAGTTATAACCCATTTAGTTTGGAGGTGAAGGGTGCTTATGGTGAACTGTATTTCTTTGGTCTCTTAAATTTTTCATGTGAATATGAACAGAGTTTTCGACTATAAACACTATTTATGGAGTGGTTCAATTTGAAAAAGAGGATGAAATTGGAGTTTATTGCACTTTTACATATATGTTTGAAAACAACAACACCAATAATTCTTGAGATCAAATACTACAGAGGATGGGATTTGTTCAGTTTCTATGCAATAGAGTTAGAAGTAAGAAGTTTTGTAAACCAGGTTTGGATTTTTTGGCGATGGCAATAATTGGCATAAGAAGAAACTGATGTTGATTTTGGTGTGCATCGTGTAGAAACAATGTTTGAAAAACAATCTATTCGATGAAGCTAGAAAAATGTTCTTTTTAATTTACAGAAAGATTACAAGGTTGGTGCACCTTACGCGACAGGAATCGAGGGATAACGGAAGTGACGTATAAGAAGAACTCTGCACAGGGAAATTTGAAACTTTGATAAGAAACTCTTATAAAGAAACGATATTAAACAGGAACAGTGTAGATCTGATATACTTAAAGCTCAACTCTCTGATTGTGTATGGAAATTCATATAGTGTTAGGAAATTGATATTCCAAATAAAATAATTATTCCAATTCTTATGCATTAACCTGCAAAGATAAATACACTTTTAGCACGTATGTTTATAAAGCTGACAAAATATTTAAAAAGTTTATATTTTACTCATAAACAAGCATCTTCCTTTTGATGTGAAAGTTTCGTTTCAGGTTTAAGGAAGATAATCTTAAAAATGAAACCTGTATAAGTATGAATTTGTTTGGTGACAGGGGCATTTGGAATACAGCTATAATATTATATTTGATTTAGATACTATATATAGATGAATAATTAATTGCTTGTATATACACTATAATTTATAAACTTCACAAAGAAGTAACGTCTTATCCAACTCATTAAAAACGAGTCTTTGATCCGCTCCGGAATTGGACATATTTTGTAAATCAAAGATCTGATTTTTAATGAGATTGGTCAATTGTATATAGATTTTTGTCTTATTTAATTAGATATTCTTTCACTTTGAATGGAAGGTTAATTCACTGCTGTATGTAGAACGAGAGGTATTAATGTAAATAGAATGGGTATGTTCCAGAGTACATGTATAAAAGTACGCGTTTTTATAGTCTCTCTTACAAATTTTTGTCACTGTGTGAAAATTTGTAAAAGCAGGGACTTTTGATTGTATATTTATTTTTGGGTTTTTCAGTTTTAGTAGGTTTTGTATGTCCTTTTTATTGAGTTTTTATTAATTTTTTAAAAAGGCTCTAATCAAGCGAAGCTGTGATAAAACGTTTTCTGTTTCAATATAAGCATAGTTTTATGTATTTTATATTTGAAAGAAAACAATGTTAGATTTGTTTGATTTTTATTTTTTTTAAGTTTGTATTAATTCAGAATCATTTAGCGCCATTTTTTTCATTTCAGAAATTCATTATAAAAAGGTATTAAAGCTTTATCGATTGAATGTCTTTTGAGATTAAAAATTTGTAAATTCTGTCTATAACATTACATGTTCTCCAGCATCTGTATTCCAAATATTTTTCTTCATATCGTTTATGTATTTTTGTGCTTTTTACACGATTTTATACTGAACTTGTTTATGTATATGTATATCCGTCCATTCATATAATCAAAGAAATTATTTATTATATCATAGGTTTATGTCTACATTGTATTATTAAATGAGGCAAAGGAGCACACTGTTTTCCTGTTATGTGAACGCCCTATTAAATTATCCAAATGCATCATTTTTGCTTTTCCTTAACAGTTTAATCTTGAACTTGGCAAGACTGCCCGGAAAACTTGGCGATGCAAAGAGAATTCGACATACACAGATAAAGGTCTGAATGTGAATACGAATAAGGAATTTTAATTTCTAGAAAAACGAACACTTTTTCCTAAAATCTTCGAATCACTTTCTTCCGATTATTTTGTTGATAGACGTCCCTGCTGACAAAACAGGTAACAACACAGTATTAGGCTCATTATTATGTTCCCCAAACGAAGTTGGGGAACATATTGTTTTTACTCTGTTTCTTATTATTATTATTATTATTATGTTCCCCAAACGAAGTTGGGGAACATATTGGTTTTACTCTGTTTCTTATTATTATTATTATTATTATTATTATTATTTTTCTTCTTCTTCCTGGGTACTTTTTTGTCCGGGAATGATCTTGTTAACTGTTCGTCCGAGGTAGGTAAAACCTTTTTAGGGTAAGTAGACATGTTATGCAGATTTGCGGAATCAAGGTCATTTTGCGCGCACGTGCTTGCAAGAGCGCGCACGTGCAACACTTGAAATAACCAATATAATAGATATAGTCGGAACTTTTCTATTTTTTGATAAAATGCTTTGAAACTCATAATGTAAGGATACATTAGTAGTAGAGACAAGATGGCATGGTCAAAATAGCAAGATCTCACGCGCATGCACGTGCGCTTTGCTCTGATTGGCTGAAACTAAAGTCTCAATATCTTTCTTGTTTCTTGTCATAATCTTTTGAAATTTTGAACATGGTCCTACATTATGAAGATCTACAGCAAGATATATTAAAATTTTAATAAAAGCATGCGCACGCGCACGTGCTGTAATCTGATTGGCTAAAACTTTAAATGGCTATATCTCCTTTGTTTTTTGACGAAATGCTTTGAAATTTAAAACATAGTCATGCATTACGATATCCTAAAATATGATATAGAAAATATTCATGAAATCACGCGCATGCACGTGTGCTGCAATCTGATTGGCTAAAACTTCAAATGGCTATAACTTTCTTGTTTTTCAATCAAACAGGATGAGATTTAGAACCTGGATAAATATAAGGGACTCCTACAAGAAGGTGTAGTCATTATGCACGTGCTTGCACGTGCGTGCACGTGAAATGAGTAAAATAAAAAATACACTCGAATGAGTGCATTTTTTAATACTTTTGTATTAAATGCTTTGATATTATTAAAATTTAAGATAGTGTAGACCAGATAATATGGTCTTTACGCACATGAACACGCGTGCAATGCCTATTTTTTTTAATATATTTTGTATTTTTCTTGGAAGACCTTGATTAAGTCTAAATTCCATAAAGTATTTCTTATTTAATAGAGATGACAGGGAATATGGCACCAAAAGGGAGTTGGGGAGCGTTTGGGGAACATCTGTAACGGTCCCCGTTACAATTAGCACTAGTTATGTTCCCCAAACGAAGTTGGGGAACATATTGTTTTTACTCTGTTTCTTATTATTATTATTATTATTCCTGGGAAAATTTTGTCCTTGAGTGATCTTGTAAACTACACATCCGACTAAGGTAAAATGTTTTTAGGGTCAATAGACATGTTATGTAGATTTGTCGAACAAAGGTCATTTTGCGCGCAGGTGCTTGCAAGAGCGCGCACGTGCAACATGTAAAATGACCAATTTAATTGATATAGGCGTAACTTTTTAAATTTTTGATGAAATGCTTTGAAACTCATAATGTAAGGATATATTAGTAATATAGACAATATGACATGGTCAAAATAGCAAGATCTCACGCGCATGCACGTGCGCTTTGCTCTGATTGGCTGAAACTAAAGTCTCAATATCTTTCGTGCTTTTTGAGGAGATCCTTTGAAATTTTGAACATAGCCATACATTATGATATCCTACAACATGATGTATAGAAATTATCATGAAAACACGTGCATGCACGTGCGCTGCAATCTGATTGGCTGAAACTTTAAATAGCTATAACTCCCTTGATTTTCGACCAAACAGGATGGGATTTGGAACATAGATATATTAAATGGACTTCTACAATAAGGTATGGTCACCATGCACATGCATACACGTGCGTGTACGTGAGCTGCAATCTGATTGGCTGAAACTTTAAACAGTTATAACTTCCTTGGTTTTCAACCACACAGGATGGGATTTGGAACATAGATATATATAATGGACATCTACAAGAAGGTATGGTCTCCATGCACATGCATACATGTGCGTGTACGTGAGCTGCAATCTGATTGGCTGAAACTTTAAACAGTTTTAACTCCCTTGGTTTTCAACCAAACGGGATGGGATTTAGAACATAGATAGATTTAATGAACTTCTACAAGAAGGTATGGTCACCATGCTCATGTATGCACATGCGTGCATGTGAAATGGGTAAAATCAAAAATACACTTGAATGAGCGAATTTTTTAATACTTTGGGATTAAATACTTTAATATTTAGTATATTAAAATATATAGATTGTGTAGACAAGATGATATGGTCATTACGTGCGCGTATATGCCTTCACATGCGCACACATGCAATGCTAAAATTTGAATGAGCATGGTACATTTCTGGGTAAACATTGTTAAAATTTCAAATGCATAGAGTTTGTGTTAATAAATGAAGCTTACAGGTAATATGGCACCAAAAGGGAGTTGGGGAGCGTTTGGGGAACATCTGTAACGGTCCCCGTTACAATTAGCACTAGTTATTATTTTTCTTCTTGGGAAAATTTTGTCCGCGAATGATCTTGTAAAGTACACATCCGATTAAGGGGAAACCTTTTTAGGATAAGTAGGCATGTTATGTAGATTTGCGGAACGAGGGTCATTTTGCGCGCACGTGCTTGCAAGAGCGCGCACGTGCAACACGTGAAATGACCAATTTACTTGAAATTGCCGTAACTTTTACATTTTTTGATGTAATGCTTTGATATTTAGAATATATAGACATATTATAAATGTAGATGAGATGACATTGTCAACATGCCATTTTGCGCGCACGTGCTTGCAAGAGCGAGCACGTGCAACACGTGAAATGACCAATATAATGGATATAGCCGTAACTTTTCTATTTTTTGATGAAATCTTTTGAAATTTATAATTTAAGGATATATTAGTAGTGTAGACAAGATGACATGATCAAAAAAGCAAGATCTCACGCGCATGCACGTGCGCTTCGCTCTGATTGGCTGAAACTAAAGTCTCAATATCTTTCTTGTTTTTTGACGAAATCCTTTGAAATTTTGAACATAGCCATGCATTAGGATGTCCTACAACATGATATATAGAAATTATCATGAAAACACGTGCATGCACGTGCGCTGCAATCTGATTGGCTGAAACTTTAAATAGCTATAACTCCCTTGGTTTTCAACCAAACAGGATGGGATTTGGAACATAGATATATAAAATGAACTTCTACAAGAAGGTATAGTCACCATGCACATGCATACACGTGCGTGTACGTGAGCTGCAATCTGATTGGCTGAAACTTTAAATAGTTATAACTCCCTTGGTTTTCAACCAAACAAGATGGGATTTGGAACATAGATATATATATAATGGACTTCTACAAGAAGGTATGGTCACCATGCTCATGTATGCACGTGCGTGCACGCGAAATGGGTAAAATCAAAAATACACTTGAATGGGCGAATTTTTTTAATACTCTTGGATTAAATATTTTAATATTTAGTATATTAAAATATATAGATTGTGTAGACAAGATGATATGGTCATTACGTACATGCATTCACATGCGCACACATGCAATGCTAAAATTTGAATGAGCATGGTACATTTCTGGGTAAACGTTGTTAAAGTCTCAAATCCATAGAGTTTGTGTTATTTAATGAAGCTTACAGGGAATATGGCACCGAAAGGGAGTTGGGGAGCGTTTGGGGAACATCTGTAACGGTTCCCGTTACAATTAGCACTAGTTATTATTATTATTATTTTTCTTCTTCTTCTTCCTGGGTACTTTTTTGTCCGGGAATGATCTTGTAAACTGTTCGTCCGAGGTAGGTAAAACCTTTTTAGGGTAAGTAGACATGTTATGCAGATTTGCGGAATCAAGGTCATTTTGCGCGCACGTGCTTGCAAGAGCGCGCACGTGCAACACTTGAAATAACCAATATAATAGATATAGTCGGAACTTTTCTATTTTTTGATAAAATGCTTTGAAACTCATAATGTAAGGATACATTAGTAGTGTAGACAAGATGGCATGGTCAAAATAGCAAGATCTCACGCGCATGCACGTGTGCTTTGCTCTGATTGGCTGAAACTAAAGTCTCAATATCTTTCTTGTTTCTTGTCATAATCTTTTGAAATTTTGAACATGGTCCTACATTATGAAGATCTACAGCAGGATATATTAAAATTTTAATAAAAGCATGCGCATGCGCACGTGCTGTAATCTGATTGGCTAAAACTTTAAATGGCTATATCTCCTTTGTTTTTTGACGAAATGCTTTGAAATTTAAAACATAGTCATGCATTACGATATCCTAAAATATGATATAGAAAATATTCATGAAATCACGCGCATGCACGTGTGCTGCAATCTGATTGGCTGAAACTTCAAATGGCTATAACTCTCTTGTTTTTCAACCAAACAGGATGAGATTTAGAACTTGGATAAATATAAGGGACTCCTACAAGAAGGTGTAGTCATTATGCACGTGCTTGCACGTGCGTGCACGTGAAATGAGTAAAATAAAAAATACACTCGAATGAGTGCATTTTTTAATACTTTTGTATTAAATGCTTTGATATTATTAAAATTTAAGATAGTGTAGACAAGATAATATGGTCGTTACGCACATGAACACGCGTGCAATGCCTATTTTTTTAATATATTTTGTATTTTTCTTGGAAGACCTTGATTAAGTCTAAATTCCATAAAGTATTTCTCATTTGATAGAGATAACAGGGAATATGGCACCAAAAGGGTGTTGGGGAGCGTTTGGGGAACATCTGTAAC